AAATAGAAGACCTTAGTTCTAAACACGCTCAAAAGCTCATTCAAATCGCACTTTTGCGCGCTCATCAAATGTGACTACGAAAATAACCGGTTTAATGCAAGTGCAGCCGCCCAAGCAAACAATCCTTGAACTTTCGCTATTGTATAGAAGCCACTTGAGTGTATAAACACTCAAAAATAACCAACATTTGCACCATTTATTCAGGCGTTTGGCAAGACTTTTTGCCTTGAAACGAAACGAAATGAAAAAAGGCGTTTCACTCCAGTACCGACCTGTTCCCAGTAGAGATGCGTCCTATTGAAAGCCCTCAGCCGAGTGTAGCCATAATCGCGACTAATAAAAGCCGACCAGTAGGGTCTGGTGGTTGTGAAGTTTTCCCTGCCCTCAACGCAGCCGGCCGATCCAGTCACAAAATGCACGGGGGCCTTAGGATTCGTGTAAGGCGCCTCGTAGCTGCCGTTGTAAACCTGCAATTAGGCTCATTTTCCAACGCTCCAATCTCGAAAATCCGAACCCACCTTGTAGTCGTAGATCGGCCACAGTCTTTCATAGCTGTGCTCGTGGGCCCAAATCTCCAAATCCACCCCATAATTGCAAAGAAGATTCTCCAAGCCAAACATGTGAAGAAACGGCAGCCCCACTCTGGTGAGCGTTTCGTGATGGGTGCAGTCGTCAGGGTTCAGGTTGCTGCAGTACATCGGCCGGTGCCCAACCACAACGATCCACGGGTGTTTCTCCCTGGAAAACATCCAGTTTTTTAACGGAAATTGGTCGACCGTTGACAAACGCACCGGTTCTCCGGCAAGTTGGCCTGGATTAGGTCGTTCTTCAGCCACTCGAACTGGAACACCAGGCTTTTGAGTCCGAAGTTGAGAAAGTAGTAGAGCTCGGTGGAAATTGAGATGATATGCATGGGGCCGATATCGAAGCTGTACATCACAGAGTCTGGGGCGCCGGGCATGCTAAATCTCGCTTTGTAGTTGCTGAAGTTGCTAAAAGACACCGTGCAACTATAGGGAATTAAAGTGCAAAGCGGCCACCTACTAGGCTTCTTCGTGGTTGCCTGGACAGGTCATGTAGGGGAGATAGGCGGCGATTGGCTCGATTTGCCGCATAAATTCATCGCCCACGTAGCCGTTATCCTGCAAACAATTCAATAGAGTCCAGGAGTGTCTCAAAATAAAGCTGAGAAGCTGTACCGAATCCATATCATAGGCGAAGTCCCCAATGTGCAGCACAGCATCGTACAGCCCCCTTTGAGTCTCCTCCTGCAGTCTCGTGAGCGATTGGGCGTTATCGTTGCCCATATCTCCGTAGATCACCAAATGGGGGGACCAATCGTCCCCAGATGGAAGCGTTTTGAACCAGAACAGGTCGGACCAACCATCTGATCCACCGCAATGATACTCTGAAAACAATTAACACACTTAGAAAACAGATTAAAACATCACCTGGGTTTCTTTGTTACACATGATCTAATTGTACCATTCAATGCTTTGTTTAGATGCCTATACTTGATAATAAACCTTATCTGGGACCGTGCATGAATGTTTAGATTGTTTGTGCATTTTCATCGCAAATAGTCACGATTTTTTACAACGTAGTTTAGCAAATTTAGCTATTTGAATGTTCTGGTCTCACGTTGACCGAAAAGACGTGGCATGCTTTTAATACTAATTATTTGAAATTGACTAAGATATTCTAGAACAGTACAAACGCCGATTCATTCACACTTGAAATTGGTGAGTTTTCGGAAGTGTCCTCGCCATTCTTCCAAAAGCCCGAAAAACTCATAGCTTCAAACAAACATAGCGAAAGCCTAACTCTTTCATTAACAATCGATAGAATCCAGAAGACTGAGATATACAAAAACTTTGCTTACCATATCGACTATCCGGCGCCAGGTCGCTTAAAACCACTCGATGTATATACTGGGAATGCTTCTCAGGGCCCCCGTCTACAAACAACCTCGACTGACCAGTGGCAGTGTTTATAAGGCCCCCTATTCCATACTCCACAATGGAATCGTCTGTGGGATTGTAGGTCGACCAGGTGACCACAATTTGATGAATGTTGTCGCCGAAAGCGATGTGCACCTGCTGGGGCTGCATGTAAAGGGGCGATTTCTGGGCCAAGCCGCAGGCCAAGAAACTAGACGCGACCAGTAACACGTAAAACATGTTGGCGACCTGAACCCGAACTGTGTATGGTGTATTAGTGATAATTAGGCGTCGCAAACATGATAATTGTTTGCCGATAATAAATGTTTATTGATTGTTTTAATGCACTGAACACAGAAACATAACCAAACATTGGCAAAAGGTGACATTTGATGTCAGTATCATAAATAAGTGCCTACTTGATTGGACATGGGAATGTATGTAGAGAAATTTAGGCAATTTGGTGAAATTATAAAAATTAGTTTATTTATATTGAACAAAAACCTTTTTTCTTACTCTTTACTTACGTCATTACCTTCGAATGTGTAATGCCTGCTTCGCCATGTGGCAGGCAGGCATTACACATTCAGCTATCTTCAGTTTATTTTGCTGTACACCAACCTAACCTATATCGCTTCACTGAAACTTGACCCAAGGTTCAAACGTTAACAAGGATTTTTTGAGATATAATTATGAACTTATCGAAAAACTAAAGTCCAATTACAAAACGCTATCATGCATTTAGATAAGTTCACTTGAATTTGGTTACTTTTTCAGGGGGTGTCAACACACGGAATGACAACGATTTCTGGTTTGGTGAGAAGTGTTTTCCAGCTGGGCCCCCGGGGTTTTATAAGGCAGAGGCTGAAATTACCCCTCATCAAATTTATTCATGATACCGTTAGTATTTATAAAAGCCGAACGCAAACGGGAGTAAACAACGTTAAAGATGTGTTAATAAAGGGCACTATTATAGCTTTAATTACATCAATACTAGTATGGCTTTCGATTCTCATGTATATGGCATTTTATTATGTATATGTGCCTAGCCTTAAACATGAACGACCGGTATTTCTGAAATTCAAGTAAGTATTTCCCATAATGTACGAGGTGTTCCATTCTCGACATTTTTATGTGGTATCTCTGTACTTAATTGTAATATAGGTGTCTTATGCTTTTTGGGGCTAACTTAAGAGATACAGGGAAAACCTAAACACCGTCAACTTCAGAATGACCCCAGATTTCCTAGATAGAGACCTTAGTTAAAACGGATACAGAAAAAAGGAAATGTTGGATATAAAAGTTTCTCTTGATAACGGTTACTGAAAAATCTGCCATGTTCAGAAAGTTATCACAGCTAATCTCATTTTTTTTGGTCCTACGTTCTATGTTCTATGTGAATCTAAAAAGGTAGAATTTTAGATTCTCTCTTGAAAAAGATCACACACCATGTATATCGATTGGCTTCTTAATCAATGTACTTAAATTTGAACCACAGTAGACCATGAAACAAGAGGTAATATTCTAGAAACTAAACTATGTTCATATTGTACCAGGAAGCATATTAAGTGTCCAATAGATTTTAACGGGCAGAGACTGGAAGAAATCAACACAAGAATGTAAACGAAATAAAAGATTCAGATTAATGCAAAAAAACTTGTTCTAAACTTTCGTTGTTTTCAACCCATTATGGGCGCCTTTTTTTTAAGGAAGTAGTGGTTTGTAAGTTCTGCAAGCCTTCATGAATTCTCATAAGATCTAAGGTGTTCTTTGATCAAATTGTTCTTGGTATTTGATTTAAGTATGTATGTACAAATATCTGAGGCAGTTAAAACAGCGATTTGTCAATTTACTGTTGCCCACTATTGCTTAAACTAATAAAGTTTTAATAAATTGCCTAGAAAACCAATATCATCCATTGTACCTATAATTTTAAGAAGATAATTTAAATTGCCATCTTAGAGATTAAAATATACATTAATAAAAATTACAATATGTTCTATACATTTTTCAGCTGCTCCGTATACATATTCTGAAAACCGCAGATTATTCAACAATCTTTTAATCTCTTTTAACTTAGAAAATATGGGGTAATTTTTAAAATTTTCAAGTTTAAGTATGATCCAAAAGGAGATGTAACTTTTCAGGTAGCACTAACAATATCCTATAAAAGTGCCAAAAGTGGGACACCCTGTACTTCGCTTCTAAAAAGGCTGAACTAGTGTTTCAAAATAAAACTTCCTTTATAAAGTACTTTAATAATAACCCTTTCCAGACCTTGTGGGGCAACCTATGATTGCAAAGAGAAGCCCGGTATGTGCACTTTTCCTGCCGCCCATGTGCAGTTAACTTCAAAACAGCAAATTCTTATGATGGGACAACCTTATAAAGTGCATTTAGAGCTGGAAATGCCGGAATCTCCAGTGAACAGAGAATTAGGTAGTTATTTTTGGCTTTTTGGCCACACACCAACAACACATTAATTTGATGACAGGCTCACTAAAACCATGGATGACTTTGTCCATTCCTATTTAAACCCCCCGATGAGAGAAAAAACGACTAAATATCCAAAAAACTGTTTTAGGCATGTTTATGGTTTGTGTCGATTTCAAATCGCACGATGGGTCAACGTTGGCCAACTCCTGCAGGTCTACAATGCTGCACTACAAAAGCATCTTTCTAGATACGTTATATAAAGTCGTTTTTATGCCGTTTTTTATTTTCGGATCTAGTGAAGAAAAGCAGATAGTCCATGTAGAGTTGTTTTCCGACTACGAGGAATCACAGGTGAAAAACAAAACCTCAGAAATCAAACACATAGAATTAATAATGTTTCTCTGTTCTAGTATAAGCCAGTCACTGATATTTACGTGGAAGTGCAATCAAAACGCATAGAAATTTATTCAGCTAAATTTTCAGTAAATGCGGAATTTTCGGGGCTGAGATATGTCATGTTCAACTGGCCAGTTTTATCTGCCGCTCTAGGTAGGACTTGGAACGTTCGAGAGGGAGTTTCAACTCAAACCGTTCTTGTTTTGTAGGAATAACAGCTAATTTATTTTTTATTGCTCTGTCCTGCCTAATGAGCTGGTATCAGCTGATCAATTCAGAAGAATATCGCAGCTACATTGACTCCGATAAAAGCCTGAATGTGTTACTTGAATCTGGTAAGTTACTCTCAAGTGCACGAAACAAATCATACAAATGTTTACATACAGTTCTCATATCATAGCAATTGCTCAAATAATAATTGAAAATTTAGTTATTTGAGAAAGGTATTGAACGAAAAAAATGTTTTGAGATAAAACTACTCCTGCTATGCAACACATTTTATATCAGAAAAGCCCCGGCAAAGTTCCATTTATTTAAATTTATTTATACATAGGTTTAATAAAAAAAACTGCTGATATGATTATCGATTTTTGGCAAAACCTTGATCGTAAGAAATATATTGTTTTCATCACTTAAAATGTGTGCAATTGAAAAAAAACCAACAATCTGCCTTCTTTGATAAATAACCGTGTTGGGCCTAAATGAAATATTTTATGAACAAATTACTTTTAAGCTTTCCAAGATAAAAAAATGTATTAGCGAGAGAAATGCGCATCTGTCCACTGTAAGCTTTTACATGTTTTTATGCAATTTTCATTTACTTGCGAAGAAAGAAACAATAAACCGACTGAGCTAAACCCTTTTAGGGTAGAACTTCCCTCTTCCGCAATACTTTAATTTTTGGCGGCAAGCTACCCCACAAAAGGAAAAAATTGTGTTGAAATAACGCAATACATAGGGCGACTGCTTAAAGACCGGGACATATTTCACCGCTCAGTTTTTGTTCAGATTTTTGGCTCCGATAGTCATGCAGAGCTGCCATTCGCAAATCTAAGGGCCAGCAATATTGCAGCGGAGGTTTCAAAAAATTATTATGTGTATCTTGTTGTCTACACAACGAGGAAGAAGAAAACGAAGATATTTGAGAGAGAACAAGGGACAACGCAGATTTTGGGTCCATGCTGCTTGAAGAAGCAGACCTGATGAAGGAGAGTTTTTCTCGCTTTTATCTCATCTGTTGGACGACGAAACGAAATTGTATAAATATTTTAGAATGTCGGCGTTTAGTCTTTTGCATAAAAAACTGCAGGAAAAATACTGTACCGAATATGTCCTCACTTCTTCAATTAGTTCCTCAGGTTTTATTAAGCTCATTTCTGAGATTAGGACCGTTTTCCCTTCCTACGGAGCCCGATCGGATAAATATGTCCCGGCCTTCAGGCGGTTTTTAATTCGAAACTACGTAAACCACAATGTTAAAATGTAAACATGAGAACAGTATGTAAACATCTAACAAAACATTCCATGAATAAATATTTAAGTTGGGGCAACGTATTCTAGATTCTGATACATCTAACACGGATGAAGATGAATCCAGTTCCCCCACACTCAGGAAACGGGGAAAAGTGGAAATTGAACAACTGCATTAAAACAGTTCTTATTGATCGGATAAAGAAAAGTCAAATAAGGACAATAGCCAATCGTCGTAACTATTTTCCTCAATCATACCTCGGTCCTCATCCTACAGTTTGACCGATTTTGCCTCTTGAAACGACTCAATCATAAGCATGCGGGAGTTAAAAATACTCCAAAAGCGTATAAGCTTTTAGACTCCCATCTAGATTAGCAACTGAAAAACTTTAGTTAGCTTTATTTTTGCAATGGACTTGCTTCAGTCCATTATAGACAAGGTATTTTTGTTATTTAATTTTAATAAACAGACTGGTTCAACTAATGTGTGTTGGTTTATATAATATAAATATTACAAACAATGTTCATCATTTGCAATAAAGTATTCTCGCAGTTTGTTTCAAACATACGTATTTTCAATTGATCTAAAAAATACATCCAACTCTTGTACGAGGTTATATTGGCAAACAGTTTTAAAACACATGTATTTCCAACTGATGTAAAAATATATCATACTCTTATACAAGGATTATTGGTTAAAACGTAAAAAATGGAAAAATGTTCATTCTTAATTTGATTCCCTCGAAGAATGAAACATACCAATTTTAATCGGAATCCTGCCCATCATCAACCATCACTACAGAATCATCAGAGTCTGATGTGCCGTCCATATGGTTTTCTTCGTCCGTGTTTTCATCAACCGGCTCATCTTCCCAATTTTCAGGTTCACTATCTGATCCAATTTCCATCACTTCTTGGTCCTCTGATTCCGAATCACTGGTGTCTAAAGGCAAAATTTTAATTATTTTACGAACCACACCAAAACTTGAAACCAACCTTTATCGATGAAAACCAGAAGGGCTTCCTCATCGTCTTCATCATAATTTTCGGCATTATTTATGGTGCTCACTTGCGGAACTAACAGTTCTAATTTGCCTCTAAGTCGGTGAAGGGCAGTCTGGGAATAAATCCGATGCTGAATAGTCCCTAAAGCACTCGAAAACATTTCTGATAGATTAGGGTTTGAAATTAGAACTCCGGCGTGGACCTGCGCCATATGTTTCAACCATAAGGCTCCATATCGACTCCTAAAATGAATCAATGAAGTTAACATTTATAAAAAGATTAACTTTTGAAGATAAACAAGACAGAGTTACAAGTTTAAGACAGAGATAATTCCATTTTTTGACTGGGTTTTACTTGAATAGAACTTTATAACAAATTGTCACGTAATTTCAAGCGAAAATAAACAAATTAAACAATAAGAGTTGGCCGCACAAGTGACTAAGTTTGAAATAATAATGAATGTTACTTACACAACAGTCTTTCCATGAACAAGACTGGACAATTCCTTGATTAGCGGTTCAAATACCGTGACAGGAAGCCTTTTAACGGTATTCCTAATGATATTTTCATCCGTTCGCCACAGGGCAGTTCTCAGGATGTTCTTGTCCTTACTGTGTAATCCTTGGAGTAACAGTTGAGCTACATTATTTACTTTCGGAACTTTGCCCTCGGCTTTGCTCAGAGTCAAATTCTCCAATCTGAAGGAAACGTTTGATGTGATTACATGAAGCAGAACGCAGAAGATGCGAAAACGTTTACCTTTGTTCCATGGGTATTTCATCTTGCTGGCCCACTTTCCTCTTGGTATGTGTGGCAGTTGATTGAGTAGAGATATAATTAACATTGTCTCCAACCAGGGGCTTTTTTAACTTTGTCACCTGCTCATCTTTACATTTTTTTGATGATGCTTGTTGATCAACCCTGATTAAGACCTCCAATTTTTTCGACGTTAGCGTCTAAATTGGAAAAGTGATTAAGTAACAAATTTCAAAAATATTCTGCTTTAAAATGGTTCTTAAAAAAACAAATAATTGGGAATTTGCAGCACAATTTCCCATCATTTTTCTAAGACCTACGCATAGAATATGACCTATTTCCTTAGAATTACTTCATATACATGGGTATTCCTGCTAAAACATCCAACATTTTGTACACACCAATGTTATTGTAAGGAGCTTATTTGAGTTGAAAAAATATACAATTTACAAATATCAAAAATACAATTAAATTGGCGGTTTTTTAATCTACTGGAAAACGCTTGCTATTTTCAAAGTTTATATCGCACTGAATCTGTACCTGTAGCTTGGATCTTTCAAAAGAAAGTGAGTTTAAAAACATTTATTTTTCGAACAACATTTGTACGGCCGTTTAATTCACGAAAAAGTATCCCTTTATTTGAATATTTCCGGACGCAAAAAATTTCATTAACGTTTATAAAGTTGGCACAAAACAGGTTCCACTGCGATTTAAATAAAATTTGAAGCGTTTGAGATACAAATGCATTGTATAGGGTGTGCGAGTTTCAAACTTCTGCCTATTTTGGTATCTAAGCCAGGAATGTTGATAGAAGTTTGTAATTGTCTGAAAACGCTCATTTCTAGGTAAAAAATTACGTCGGCAAAAAGCAGGTTTCAATGCGTGTTAAATGTAATTTTGCATGCAGTTATATATGAAAAACGAACATTTCTAGGACAAAATTTGCAAAGTTGGCATAATTTAAATGAAAATTTGTTGACTTTAAAGCGAAGTGTCTCCTATAGGTGTGCAAGCTTTGAATTGAGAGCGAAGAATTTTTAAAGGAGAGCACGCAAAGTTGCAAAAAATCAGGCTTCGTTGCTATTTAAATGAATTCGTCGAAACGTTAAAACTCAGTCCCTTATAGTGAGTGGCTCAACTTGATACCAGCATTGCGTTAAGAACTTAACGTTAACGGAAAGCGTAGATATGTTTTCAAAAGGGATGCTAAAGTAATCATTTTGAAGAGTTTTAATAGGAAATCATGAGAAACCAACTCAGATGAGCAACAAAACATTAACATACCACATTTTCGAACGTCAATAAAAGCTCTGAACCATATCCCAAAGACAGAGTTTCGCCGTCTAAAAACCTGGCGCCGCAAATTTTGATGGGTTTTACAGACTCATTAGACTGTCCTGTATCAGACACCACTTGAAGGGTGGTTTTGGGTTTGAGAGGCTTATCACACTTGCTGGAACACAAAGAAAAATAATGTTCATTTACAGTTAAACTTATGCTAATATATTATTTACCCATTGAGCTTGTGATGATAGACGTGAAGGCTTCCATTTCTTGTTGCTGCGGCTACACTGGCATTACCCTCTACTGAAATATACACTGAGACATGAATGGCAACGTCTTGCAATACGTAATTGGAAACTGCGTTTTTCAATTTGCTTTCGCTGTTTAAATTCCAGCAACTTAAAAGACGATCGGCCTGTAAATATCGCCAGTTAAAATGGGTTTTGACGAGAATACTGCGGCGTTTAAATTACCTTCGAACCGGTTAGAATATACGGGCCAGCACTAGGAAGATGTACATAGTGCATAATATTTATTTCAGAGCTGTGCCCTGTAAACGTCCTCAACACTTCTCTAGTTTCAATATTCCAAACCTTAATGTTCTTTGCGGCAGTTATTAGATTGTTCGTTTCTGGAACTGCCAGTATTGATGTAATATTCTCGTAGCCTCCCTTCCACTGGCTGCAATATATGAGCTGTGAATTTTTCCCGATTTATAAACTGGTTGAATCACCTTTTTATGTTCCTGTCTTTGATGTTCCATTCCAGAATATTATTATCAGCACCGGAGTACAATAGATGATCATTTACAGCTGATAAGCAATTCACCGGCAAATTGGTGTTACTGTTTATCGTATTTTCTATACCACCTTTGGCAATAGAGTAAATTAAGATGATACCAGATGTGGTTCCCAAAATTATGCTCGGCGGCTTTAGATCATGTTTTCGCTTCTTTTTCTTGGGAGATGGTAAATCCTAAAAAAGTCAATGAAAAGATGAAATGAGTTTAAGTTTGTATGTATATACGGATTAATTTTACTAATAGAGAATATAATTCAAAAATAATTCGTTCTCTATATCAAAAAAACCCTCACTATCCAGTCGTAACTAAAAAGTATGGAAAGTCTATATTTTGCCAAAATTTTAAGACCCAAAATTTGAGCCGAAATGTCCATATACAAGTACACTGTAGTGTATGTTACCACAGTTATAAGAATGTGACCATTGCGGCCACCTCAACCATACAGAAACTAGGTACTTACCGGATAATTGCGATTGAATAAATACAAAATAATTGCTTGAATTTTTAAATATTACCTTAGCTGCACCTTGAGAACTGCTCCAGAACTGCAAACATGTACATGGAGTGGTTAAATGGAAATCGGGTGTAAATTCTTGATCCAGTGAACTAGACAAAGTATTCCATATTTTAAGCTTTCCATCTGAGGAAATATTTGCGAAATATTTCCCGTCCTCACTAAATGCGCCACTTTGTAGAGCCATCTCAAACAACACACGCACCACACATGCGAAACTTTTAAACTTCTAACCTTAAATGACGAGGTTAGGTCCGTTTGGTTGTCACGGCCGGTCTTTAGCAGTTTCCCCACCAAGTAGTGCGTCTTTTTACTCGATACTTGACAACAGGGAACAGCTTTTCTCAAATTAAATATATATTTTAGATTAATAAACAATATTTTCGATTAATTATCAATCATAATTAACGAAAAATTTACAGGGTAATTATTTTTATTATTAACTCACTGAAATTATCATACCTGTTTGTTAAATATATTATTTTGCTACTATCATTATATTCACCTAACTTATTATTCCTGTTACTTAATTTTAGATACGTAATTTATAATAACGAATTGTGAACAAATATAACTAAGGTAAATATTAAGTTCAATTTATGTTTAGCCTAACCTACAAAATAAATTTAAACTAACCGGAACCAACCGGAACCTAACCTATCCTTTCTTGCTTGTTTAAAATGTTTTTATTCGATTTGTGTTTGAAATAATGCGTTTTGTTTATTTGAAAATATTAGCAAAGCCGGAAAGAAACACTGAGATTTCCAAGAACGTCAATATTATCTGATTTTTAATGTTTGATACTTAAATCACCGATGTTTTAGTTTTCTCTGAAAAATGTAATATTTAACGTACCCCATATATAAAACGTAATGTAACTTAACAGTGATATATTTATATATAACAGCGCTAGTCCTACTAGATCCATGGAGGAACCAAAGACAATGGTAAGAAGCGCAAAACAAAAATAAACTTAAGGAACAATATTATTTAAAGTCAACAGAGTATCGTTGAAACAGTTCGAAAGTTTAAAGCACATTTTCTTTAAAGCTTCGGAAAATACTTCCTGTTGATTACCCGTCAGTGATCTTGAGCGCTAGTAGCGAATCTCAGGAAAGTGGGGCTGTTTGGGGATCTATCGGCTTACCAATATTTACCATAGAAGATGCGATGGTATGGATTGACCTGTTTGAAAGAAAAAACTTTACAACATATAGTTCAAAAGAAAATTGGACACATGATGAAAAAAAGTCATTTTTTAAGGTAAGTTATTACCTAACAAGCACGCAACTGATTATAATATACTTATGCCATATTTTATTAAATGTTTCCTTCTATTAACACTTGACAACCTTTAACAACGTAAATACTAATTTACGGGTTTTAAATGTAACTAGGTATGCTTTCTGAGTTTCACAATCTGGTAATTTTATTTCAGAGAAAATTTACTTGCAATCAGCAGGCTACTGAGGAGTCTAATGGGGAACTCACTTGCGAAGCTTACATCGAGTTCACCGTTAAGGACAGAAAGGAAAATATGTACGTAATTTGCGATAAAACAGTTTCTAATTAGGCTGCCAAATAGCTTCGGCTGATTTTCTAAGATTGTGCCCCCCCAAAGTCTTAAACCACACGCCGCCACTGACACACAATGAGAAAGTGGGAATTAGGAATTACGAGTTGAACCAAAATATGCAGTTTATTTTATCGAGAACGCATAGAATACAATGTTCAACTTACTTCCAAAAAGATTCGCTTTCTCTCATTCGAAATGGTTTTTTGCAATCGATTATTCTCCCCTCCTTTTTCGGGATTTTGGTATACAGGGTGTACGGGAAGAACATAGACTTCTTTCGGAAGGCGATTCTAGAGATCAAAATAATAAAAAAGTGTATATAAACATATCACAAAAAACATAAATATAAAACTTAAAGTTGAAAACAGGATCACACACAGGATTCATTTTAAGGGGTAACAGGGCTCACTTGGAGAGTACGAGAAAAATATGGGGAAGAAAAATAACATAAAAATCAGGGATGAAGGGCCTCCAGGCCAGGCAAATCCCTGGTTATTGATTTTATAAAGATATATTATTATTGAAAAAAGTTGGAATAAAATTTCATACTAAGTACATTTTCCAGAATAATAGCCAGAACTGAATATAGATATTCGTGAAAGCCACTGCTTGTGTAATATCGTTACAACTCGTCCACATTCACCTCATTTTATTATGTGAAGGGTTTATTATTTGGCATGTTATTGTGTTATTTTTTCTCTTCATTGAAATGATCGTGATAATTTAATACTGTCTTGATACACTTACTAGAGGCAAATAACAAATTTAAATCACGTTAACTTTCATTGATGTCTTAATCATCAAATATGTTTGAAGCCTTCCTTCCCGAACACATATGTAGAGGGAAATTTTGTCGGAAAATGTTTATAAATATACATGCAATCTCATTCAGCGCCTCCGAAACTCACATTTGTTTTCATTTTCCAAAGTAACCTTCGGATGGTCGGATATAAAGTTTTCAAACACTTAAGTTCCCGGTCAAAGTCAATATTAATAACTATGCTATTGATAGACCTGGATGTTATTAAGTATTCTTATGCTTTATAATAAAAAGCTTGAAAGTGAGATAAGAAATAAAGTTTCAACGATTGAAAATTAATTTAAAAACGTGATGGAAAGAAGAATTCCCTTATATAATTTCTACGTCAGATAAAAAATAAGATCAGTTTGCGCCTCAGAGTTAACGCTTAGTTAAAGTTTCCCTAACTTTTTACTGTAAATATTTCTTCAATCAGTAATACGGTTTGAACAGTTTTTCTATCGAATTACAGCTCTATTCTGGGATAAAATTTAATTTATACGATAAGCAAAAAATGTTTAAACATACTGCATAGAATGCTCAAATAGTGTCATGTTCAAATTCATTTGCTGGCAATATCGGGCTCAGACAGGAAAAAAGTTTACGGTCATGTCTTCTGACTAATTTGAATCTTTAATCGTCTAGTTGTCTTCGAGAGATATGAATTTTTTTAAGACCGGTTACATTTTGCACACATTAATAAAAAAAAATATTACATACAAAAACTGTACGTAAATTATAAGTAAAAAATAGTGCGAAAAGTGTAATCAAAAATGAATATCTCTCGAACGACTCAGAATAAACAGATGATTAAAGACCCAAAATATTCCGAAGTGATGAGGCTATAACTTCGTATACTTTTTTGCTCTCTGGGCTACCCCCACATTACCTGCAGGAAGAGGTAAACTTTGACCAAGACAGCATTTAATCACCCTGTGCACAATATTTATTTCATTTTTTCCTTATCCCGTAATTTAAATTTTATCCAAGTGATTCGATAAAAAAATTGAACTCCACTTGAAATAACTTAAGTTCTATTTTTGTTGCAGGACTACCCTTGGCTGCTATTTGCAAGATTACCCCGCTCAAGTAACAATCAACTTTTGCCACAACCATAAAATCGGCATGGAAAGCGCACCACCGTCCGACAACTTGACTGCAATATTTAGGGCGTACTTTGCCAAAGGCCATTCGCCCTTAACCGCCCTTTTTTGCCATAAATGCGATCTGCATAGTTTCTACGATGCAGATTTTTACAACGTTATCTCACAAGAGAGCGTTTGTCCGTCGATAAACTGGTGCTACCAGGAATATGAGAAACTATTTAATCAAAAGTATGTGGAACCATCTGACATTGAACTGATCCCGAAACTGAAAACCAGCGTGGAGAATTACAACGGCAAATATGCTCAAAAATGTGCGGTGTTAATGGACAACCCCCTGGTATTGTCAATTTGCACGCCTCTGATGAAGCAGGTATTTAATTCGGGGTTTGCTGATGATCGCATCATTGTACGAACGCTGTCTAGTTCGAAACCGGGACAAAAGTGTCCAAATCTGGTTTTATTTTTGGGTTCCACGCCCATGGGCCCGTTTCCGTTTGGGATGGTGTTTGCATTGACACAAAACGAAAATGTAATTTGTGACGGCATCAAAACCCTTTTTGGAACTTTGGGCAGCGTTTCTTATAATCCAAAACTGATTATTGTTGATCAATATTGTCTGATCACTGATGGTTTGAAGAATATATTCCCTTTAGCAGAAATCATGTTTAATAAGATACAAATATTACAATCGATTTGGCGCAGCCTTCGACTTGCTCATGATGACTGTAAAGAGTTTCACGCCACATATAACGCGTTTCTTGTTGCTTTGAACAGCAAATCGTCAAAAGAGTTTGAAAATAACGCGGATAAGTTGAATATTTATGCGGAAACGTATTCTAAAATGTATGACCTTGTTCAGATTTTCCAAACCTGTGCAAAGAGAAATATTGATGCAGGATATGAACTCAACGTTGACTACATGGACGGTGGAACGTTAATGCTTCAAGATGTTTGCATTAAATATGCCAATATTTTTAACATTTTACAGGTGTTCGACTTTGTAACTGAAAACTATGTGCGCCATTATGAGCGTAAGTTGGGCAAAATAGTCCAGGGAGATTCGCAAGGTTTTTTTAAAACTAATTTTTATGCCTCTCCAGATGAAACAGCGAATTTCACTTGCCGAAAAATAGCAGACTGCGAGTTTGTCGTTAGTAGTCTTAACACCGACTTTTTTATTAACAGTGAACTGAACACTTGCACTTGTCAGGTAATGGAATTTGGTAGATCTTGCATCCATCAGTATTTGGCGGAAAACCATCTCGAAAGTGTTCCAGAATCTTACAACACTTTAGCCATTGATTCCTTACATGCTTTTCAAACAATTTTATCGTACAAAATCCACTATTACTCAAACGATGTCGGTGGCGTAAGCAATGAAGATAGTGCTGCTTTTAAAGAACTTGGAAGCATTATTAGACACCGACACAATGGAAATAGTAATATGAACAGTCCCTGTAGGCGTCTTGTTGATTCTCAACGAACGTTCAAGTTAGAAGAAAGCCTGTTTTGTTTAGAAACTACAGATTTTGAATATCAGACTTGCGATGTGGATTTATGCAAAGAGAATTCTAAACAAAGCGAAAAATCGACGAGCATTCAAAATTTGGAAAAGGGCAAGGCAGCCAGGGAAATTGCCGAATTTCTTGATTTCGAACACTTAATTACATCTAATGATATTGAAGATGTTTCTTCGAAAACCTCTGAAGCACTAAATAGTGAACGCAATAAAATCACGTTACAGAGTTCTGGGACAGACTGTATTTTCGACGAGGGACTACATTTGCTGGAAGAATCACATATTGAAACAGATCCAAACAGCCTGATCAAACGACACAAAACCAATAAAGATTTAGAAATAGATTATAACATTAATACGACTTACGATTTATATAAAGTATTTAATAATGAAAAGGAATTAAAGGCTGCCAGTTATAAACCAAGCAACAAATCAAGTTCTAAACCAAAATGCTATATAAATAAAAAGAAGCTTAACTTAAAGCGTGTTCGAAACGGTTTCCAGTATGGGCCAGATGGTAGTTCCAACGTTTTCTCTGGTGAATTGGTAAAAAAGCTATTTCATGAAGTATACAGCAACAATTACCAACCAGAAATTCGAGAATTTACCTTTGAACCTATTAAAAACGTCATTATACCGAATGGGGCCATAAACTTCGACTCGCCTAATAAAAGTACTTTTGACCTTACGACGGATAAAGAAGTATTAACTCTTAGTGATCCGGAATTATCGTTTCTATTGAAAAATCCTCAAGTGAACATTTTCCTTAACGTAGAAAATGGTTCCAATCACTCAGCAAACGCAACCCCAATTATCAGTTCATTGAATGAATCTCTGCAAAGTAGTACAATAATCGATTTAACTTTGGGCGAATCCAGTAAAAGAGTCACGAGATCTAGAAGAACACAAACAGACAATAAGAAATCAATTTCGTCAGATAAGGAGCAAGAGAAAAACGAGAAAGAATCAAGGCCTAAACAATTAGCAAAATCAAAGAGCAAAGCAAGAGGTAAATTGGGAGAAGAACCAGTGCAAAACAAAATAAGTATCAGTGAAAACTGTAATAAATCTGTATCTCCGGATGTCCCCCGGGCCAATGGCCCCAACCGAAAAGAAAGGTCCAAAAAAAAATCAAAGAAGTCTGATAAACGACGTGTAAAAAATAAACACCCAGAGAGTAAAAGCGATAATAATCCATCCATACTGTCGCAAGATACAGCAAGTAAAGAGGAAGTTAGAGAACTAGCTAAGGAATTAAGGAAACCTACCGTAATAAACAAACTAGAAATGAGCGAAAACTGTAATACATCGATTGCCTCAACCCCCCCAGCAAAGAGACCTCGAAAAAGCAATAAGAAATCGAGTAAACTACCTTCAAACAACAAAATTAAGCGGAGGGAAGACGGTAACAAATATGTGCAGGCACGGGATGCAGCAAATATGAAAAAAGCTCAAAAAAGTGTTAATGGATTAAAGGAACCAGTTCCAATAAACAAAGGTATCATGCATGAAAAGTGTGATAATCCTATTGTCTCAAACCCCCCCGCAAATAAACCTCGAAAAATCAAAAATAAATCAGCTAAACTACATTTAAGCAACAAAATTAAACGGAGTGTAGAGTGTAGCAAACCTGTACGGTCGCAAGGAGCCGTAAATGTGAAGAGGCCTCGAACAGCTGTTGGGGAATCACAGAAAGAGAGTGAAAAATACCATAAACAGATAGACAGGAAATTAGATCAACTACCATTGAATAAACAAGCTGATGAACCAAAAAAATTTCAAGTCACAGCAAAGAGACCAATAACAAGACCTAGAGAAATAATTGGGAAATCTGAAAATACTTTTGAAGGGACCATAAATAGATATAAATTGCGTTCATCTTTAAATAACTCCAGCTACCAAGATGATGAAAGCTCACCGCCAGCAAAAAGGCCAAGGGAGAGAGCTGACCAATTCAAACTTCACTCAAACATCAACAATGATATAAAATCAATGAGTTTATCTCCAAATAATTATAGAAAACTCGAAGAATCTTCCAATTTCAATGATCGAGAAACGTATCCAAGAAGAACCCAGCGAAAATTAACTGAGCGACTACAAGTTAATTCAGAACGGCGGGTCTCAATTAAAACTAATTTAAATTCGTCCTGTGATAGTTTGAAAAACATTTGTAGAACATCTTCAACGGTTATTAAAAAATTAAGAACCCGTGCTAAAAAAACCGTGTCTAATGGGAACTTGAATACACCATGTTTAGGTCAAAATGGGACAACTTTACAAGTTGATAAGGCTGGTTCCACTAGTTTGTCGGAAGAACCTGACATTCCGCTAAACCGCAGAGTATTACAAGTAGAGTTAGAAACATTAATATTTGACAAAGATAAATTTAAAAATCTTAAAACAGGTCTGGCTTTGAAATCAAGTTGTAGTCGATTTTCTGACGATTTGCTTCATATTCCTAACAATGGAGCTGTTGAGTGCATGCAAAATACTACTGAGGGAAAAAATGCAAGAAAAGTTAAAAGAATCAGTTCAACTAGAAAAAAATGTTAAGTTTTAATGACAAATAATAGAACACGGGTAAACACATCGAATATGAAAAAAATTAACGGAAATTACAAAGCAAAAGAGTTGCGATTATTTTGGTTCTAAATTTGCAGATATTTTTATTATTTAAGTTAGTTCGGTGAGCTGTAAGTGAAATGCTTGACGTTGCAAATGTTGCTCAAATTTTAGTTAGAGTTATAAATTGATATTTAGTTTTAAGTTAGTTTAGGTTAAAATAAAATCGTAGTTTTCATTTCATAAGTTTTGTGAATAAATTGTTGATAATAAATTTTTGGTTGTTGTAATTTTCAGGCGCAAAACATGCTACGGCAAAACAGCCAGCATTTCAAATCCTTTCGTGAAGCAAAACTGCAATTTCGAACTTCTTATCTAGCGAATTGCCCTCCAAACCCTTCAAAAAATTACATAAATGCGGCAGACAATGGCTTTCTGTTACGAGTTGATAAGATTTCCGTACGTGCTATCTTTGGTCTATCTTTAAAGTGCTATAATTTTGGAGTACCATTTTACAGTCTATTGCTATTAGGGCTTTGTTGAGGCAAAAACCTCAGTCGATGCGGATTTAATTCAAACGAAATGAATCCGAGCAGATTGAATCTGGAATAGTGCGTTTTTCTTGTGATTTACCTTTTTATTAGATAAGCAATCTTAATTCGTTTAGGTTCGTTGCCTCATAACGAGCTTAGGGGATTGAATAACAGTTTTTACATAACATGTGCTTCCACGTAGAAATAAAAGTAATGTCGATAAATCTCTGAAGCCTCAATTCAGAAACTAAGAATTAATGCTATTTTTAATTAAATAAATTATTTAACTTTAAGGCAAGAAGGAAAATCATTTGCCTTTCGAAACATTAAAGCGGCAAATTGAAAACTCCAAATTGAGTAGCTTTTGCCCAACCTCATTATTTTGATTCTGCCAATTTTATTTAGGAATATGGAACACTCTGTACATTTATGGCACAAAATTGCCAATTTAAAGTTAATCGTTTTTTGACAAGTTTCGCTCTCATACTTTGCAAATAAAAATCAGTCAATAATATGTTTGATCGAATTTTTATAATCAAGAACCGGATTCAAAGTATTTCGTAAAGAATGCAATGATTTTTAATCGAAACACCGCATATAATTTCACATTAACAGCAGTTTGATATTTTATTTTGTATTATTGTTTAATTCTGCTTTTAATGTTTATTTAGTTTATCATTAAATAACATAAAACAGAAAGATAATGTAAAGTTATTTCTAAAATTTGATAGGATTCGTGGATAAATGTTAAAATTGTTTAAAATTCCTGTTCTGGTTGTGGACTATAAAAGAGAGACTACGAAAGTTTTTCAAACTAAGACAATTTTTCTTACACAAACAAATTAGCTGCGATATTAATTTCATCCGAAATAAATACACTTCACGTCTATGCTAATAATATTAATAATTCGATTACAAGTGGCAATTCAAAGCAGCAAATTTTGCATAATAATTGTTTCGAACACGCGCTATAAAGTTTTAGGGGGGCCATTGAAAGGCGGACATTTAATTATGTAGGGTCCCAGTTTTCATCTTCATCCAAAGTTAAACCCACTGATAGCAACAGCTAAAAGTAATTTGGCTTTTATTAGAAAATCTCGGAAAATTTCACAGTAAACTGTTATTTCTGTCCCCCAAAAGGAACTGAAACGTTTACAAGAAAGCAGCGAAAGGCCGCTCTGGAAAAAGGATCTAAAGCGGTTTGTCTGAGGTCGAGAAAGGGACCTTTTAAGGCTATTTGCTTTATGTTCATCAGCAGCCCATTCAAACGTTCAAAATTACCAAAAAATGCACAGAAACGATGTTCCTAATGTGTTATTTACTGGAGAATTAAGCAAAATGCAGAAAAGTGACTTTGATAATTTGAATTGCAAATGTGAATGAGATTTAAGCGAGCAACAGGAACGAAAATATTTTCTTGCGATTTTCTTTTATAGCGAAATTTGATTATCAAACACTTATATGCAAGATTATGCCAACATTTCAAGTTTTCCGTCCCGTCGTTTTTGCTCACTTTTCGGAAGCAAAATGAGCAAGAACCTAAATGGCCTTTTTAGAAAGTTAACTACCGATAAGGAAGTGTTGACAGTTTTCTCAAAAAAGTCGTGATTTCAAGAAGTTTTAGATTTGCGCGTTTTTTTTTGAGTTGCAAAATCGACTCAAACATGACGCTGCTTTTTTCCAAGTTTCTTAAACCTCATTTGAGCCAAAGATTTCATTTTGGCTTCGTTGGTTTGAGAATTCATAGTTCATAGTCAAGTTCAATTCATAACAATATGAGTCATAACAAGATGAGTGAGGAAATTTGAGTTTTAACCCAGAAAGCGAAATTTTAACATCGTACATTGAGCAGCTTAAATCTGATTTAAAGTGTAAAACTCAAAAGATTGGAGACTAAAAAATAATGAAACTATTTTAGTAATTTACGAATGGTAAAACAACACTAACTGACTGAAATTAACACAGAAAATCAATAATTTTTAAATTCTTGTGCAATCTAAGAAAAAAGCTATAACTGTTTTTTCTTGTGCATAATTGGATTGTTAATATATGAGCTGCTAAGCGAATTTTAACTTAATTCCAGGATTAATGTTTACGTACTCTTTTTCCAACGCGAATTCTAATTGTTATTTGAGCTTAATGGTTTTTTTGAGGTTAATTAAATAGACCTCCCGCTGATGGGCTCTGTCTTTAGCTCTACATTTCCGGTGAAATTATTTTATGAAACGCTCATCCTCAAAGGGCAACATGAGATTAAATTTTACATCTAAGTTTTAATCTGGATTTAAAAAATTACTGGTGAAATTTACGTGAATTAAATGCGATCATGTTTGCAACAAAAATGTATGGGGAATTTATTGCGCCGTTGTTTATTTTCTATTATGAACTACTCCAACAGAAATGTTCTATTTCCTTTGCCAATCATACGGACAGGAAGGCCATCGATTATCCGATACTAAGAGAGTTATGATTGAGGAACGGACGTTAGTAGACATTTTATTGGTTTAATTTCATTTCAGACCCCTCCAATATTAAATCTTTCGCCATAAATTTCGTGTACCTTTTGTGCTCCATATCGCTACATCTTCGACGAAAATAAATCTCCAAATCTTCGCTTTTATTTATTATATTAAGAGTGATATATCTCGGTGTCACGGGAAATATTTTTCTGCGATCTCTTTTTTTGTATGATGTATGTTTTTTATTTGCTTTTGTCTTCTTGCTAATTGCAGCAACAGAAATATCGCAGCATCACACTTTAAAAGGAATTTTGGAGGAAGCATTCCAAACAATAAATTTTATTAAATACTAGAAGCAAATGCGCCACAATAAAAGGTTCAAAATAAAATTCGAACTCAAATAGAATTTTAAATTGCGATTTTTTATGTTAATTGCTATTTCCAGGATAGCCCTCAATTAAAAAAATAATTAAAAAAATAATTAAGAATTAAAATTACAAAATGGGTGCTAACATTGATATTGTCCTAAATAAACCCCAATTTTTAATACACTCTTAGACACCGAATTGGTGAAAACTCAGCCAGAAATGGCACAGAAAAGAGGAGCATTCGACTATAAAAAGGGCAAAATTTAACATTTGCCAATTAAGAATTCCTGAATGTGTTACAATGTGAATCAGTACCTTATTTAAAGCATTTTGTAGATCGAAAAATTGGGAGTTTTTGCAAAATGCATCTGCAGCTATTTGCCGTAAAAAAGCATGTAGGGAAAGTGTCGAATTATCAAACACTGAATTTTATTTTAAAAAACAGACGTCGTAAGTTGAAATCTAAGTAAGGAGTAAGTTTCTGTGCTTTTCCCAACATGATTAGTTAACTGAATTTATTATTTGCTTTACAAAAGCACTTATTTATAAATAATCTGTATTACCATGGGAAAAGGTCATCGATCAATCGTTCTTTCAGTCCATAAGCGTCATTTTAATGTATAAAGGCCTGGGAAGAGAATAAGAATCAGACTTAGGTATCTAGTTTGTCTTGATAGGCAGCCAAAAAGGGTTCGTTGTGTGGACGTTATGTGGATTTTCGTTCCAGTTTTCCTGGATTTGTGGTAGTCTTTCGTGTTACAGACGATCGTCGGATGGATTAACTAATGGATTTTCAAGGAGATCTATTTTTGTAATCAGTCTTGGTGCATTATTTTCCGCATGTCTTGCTTAATTTTCTATGTTGTGTTTACCCTTAGAATGTTTCAATAGTCTTGCAGTGTTCTTTCCATGGATCTTTAATTTTTCCCGCAGTCTGTTTGTAAGTGATCTAAAATTTGCCTCTGTTCTTCCGAGTATTTCGCACTTGTTTCGTAAATTTTAAGGTTTATGTCGATTTTTTTTTAAGTTGTTTTTCCAAAACAGTCTTTCCTGTCCAAACAACCATCTCAGTAGCAGTAAAACTGATGAATCAAAACGTGAACCAAAATGCAAAATAAAAAAAAATTTGATAATTAACAGTACAGATCCAAATTCGAGATAAACTGTACAAGTAATGAAGAAGAGAAGTCTGGTTTATAATAAATAGGAATGCTGTTGAATAAACAAGCATTAAAGGCTATCAAGTTTTTTGAGTAAAAAAATATTCAAGTTGGGTGGAGCCTGTTATTTGGAGTTTATGAGACAATAGTTGCGAGTTGATTCTCGGGCAAAGTCGGCGGAGTCTGTGGAGTTGTTTTACGTCGTTAAAAATATAATAAATTTGAACAAACATGATCAGTTGGTCCGTTGGCAGAATCGGACTTGCTCAAGAAAATGTGAACATTGTAATGCATAATTTTGGGAGAAAAAAATTATGTATGGACGGAAACCTATGAAAATGTTTGAGGAGCGAACTTTCCGATTGCACTGCCTTTTCTTGAACGAAAATGTCGATAACAGTGACTAATTCAATAAAAAACTGATTTTTGGTCATTGTCTTTGTACACCTGGAGCATCAAGAAATACACTTTGAAAGCATTTACACCATCTTCCTGCAACTTGTGGAACGAAAACAGTAACGTGAAACGCTCTAAGAGTAAGTCAAGGGATGATAAAAAATGTACTAAAAAGCGCAAGAGCGCTCGAATAATCCCCAAGGAAAATAGATGATGCTTAATAAAAAAAACTGAAGAATAGGTGAAGTCAAAAAGGTTGATAAAAGTGCCAACAGGCGTTGGAAAACAGGTAGAAAATTGGATTTCCGTAGAACGTGTAAAGTGAACTCCAGAGAACTCATATTTCATTATTTCAACGACTGTTTCTATTTTTACGTTATCCTGCCGTTGTGCAATAAAAAGTTTAAGACGCGCTTCTTTCCTGTTTCCCTCTTTTCGTGCGCGCGTTTTTCAAATGTTTTCCCGTGCTTCCCTAGGGAAAAATTTCCTAAGTCACGGTTCACTCCATTTTCACGTCCCATAGACTGCACTCCCAATAAAAATCTTTTAATTTGAAGACACGAACATATTGATTGAAACTTTTTCATTAGAGTTAAACGGCCAAAGCGAGTGTGAGCTTTTTGATAGTGCGGCGGTTTAGGTAGTGACTACTTAAATTTCGTCGATTTCAATCCTACTAAGGTAAACACATGACAAGCATCTAGTAAACTTCCATATTTCCAGCAACAGAATTTCGTTAAAATCTCATTAAATGCAGCTAAAGTTTCTTTGTGAATTTGTAAATAGTTCATTATTTAAATTCCTTATCGCTTTAAATAGCTGTGTCTGCAAAGCCTTAAACATTTTACTACCACAATTCAAAAATTGATTCAAATCAAAAAAATTACATAAACCGTCGCACTAATAGAACACTTCTTTTCTAGAGCCAAAGAAGAATTGACTCCATCAATTGACTTCTAGCCCGCTTATTTAGAAGTTTGAGCGCTAACAATTTAAGTTTTCTCCGCTGATTATTTTTAATTAAAATCGTTTTACTGACTTGAGGCAGTTTATTCGCTCATTTGTATGCTGGTTTTCTGACAAAGGATGCTTCGAATAGTTACTGGATAAAATTGGCGTCTTAAATGGGACGTTGAAAATGCTAATTCGTTTGCCCGTCATGTGATTATCGTTTTCTGTGCGAACGAAGTTGATTTTTCCTCATTTGGGAGCATTGGAAATATGGTGATTGTGATTTGGAATTGGAGTGTCTTACTTTTAGGTGAGTCAACAACAAGTTTTTTAATTGGAGTTTGAAAAACCGGCCTAAATACGCCATTCCATCTACGTGTTTTGGTTTATTTTGGATTTGTTTACCCAGAATGGTCAGTTGCGTGCCATTAAACGGCAATTTTAAAAGTAAATCACTTTTTGTCTAATTTAAAACTTTATTAATTGATTTGAAAAATTAAAAAGCACACATTTTACGGTTGAATTAAATCAAGCTATATTGAAATTTTTGAAAACATTTAATTCAAAAGCAGGCACTGTTTTGAAGAACAATTTTACAAAAAGACATATTTGAGCCTTGTAAGAGGAATTCAGTTTCCGGCACGGACGGAAATAGTGAATAAAAACTAATCAGCAACAATGTAGGTAGAGAATAATGAAAAACGGCTTCAAGGAAAGGCATTGTTATCAAATAAACGTGATAAGCAAGGCACAGAGTGTCTACTTAATAAAGTTAATCATACATAAATGAAAAGTTAAATGAATGAACGTGAAAGTATTGCATACAACCGAAATGTATGCAAAAAATAAATTCGAAAACTTTGCGGAAAAAGGGTCTAAATATGGCAATTTGCAACCACAATTAGGTTTTTTAACGCAATTAGTGATTATAGGGTGACTCCGTTTCAGACACCTTACTCCGTACACCTTTTTAGAGTTAATTGAATATTTGCTACAAGCGGATTGTAATCAGAATTTATGTCTGCCCCAGGGTACGTTTATGCCGATTTGATGCAATTTCTGTATCGTTTATTTATCAATAGAAAGTCTATTTGGTTTCTGGCTATCCTCCCTATACTATGATTACCATTACTACCTCTTTATCTTGGTAGCACGAATTATTTAAAGATGAACGCAATTTATGTCCATTTATGGTACTTTCAAAACTATTTTCAGATTTCTCAATTATTTCTCTATGTCCTTTTATTGGTGTCTTTGCTGTAGCTTGCAATTTTTTTGATTTAACAGCTTGCTTGTACAATGGTAGTTGATCTAATTTCCTGTCTATATGTTTATGGTATTTTTCACTCAGGTTTGCTACACTCTATACTCATTTCAATTTTGTTGCTTAAAGATAGTTTAGCCGATTTATTTTTTATTTTTCGAGGTTTATTTACTGGGGGATTTGAGGCAATAGGATTATCACAGTTTTCACGCATGATACATTTGTTTATTGGAATTGGTTCCTTTAATCAATTAACACTTTTTCGAGCTTTTTCATATTTGCTGCATCCCGTGTCTGCACAGATTTGTTACCGTCTTCTCTCAGCTTAATTTTGTTGTTTGAAAGTAGTTTACTCGATTTCTTATTGCTTTTTCGAGGTCTCTTTGCTTGGAGGTTGAGGCAATCGATGTATTACAGTTTTCGCTCATTTCTAGTGTGTTTATTACGGTATGTTTCCTTAATTTCTTAGCAGGTTCTCGAACTTCCTCTTTACTTGCTGTATCTTGCGACTGTATGGATGGATTATTATCGCTTTTACTCTCTTGGTGTTTATTTTTTACACGTCGTTTATCAGACTTCTTGGATTTTTTTTGGATCTTTTATTTGGGTTGGGGCCATTGGCCCGGGGGACATCCGGAGACACAGATTTATTACAGTTTCCACTGATACTTAATTTGTTTTGTACTGGTCGTTCTCCCAATTTACCTCTTGCTTTGCTCTTTGATTTTGCTAATTGTTTAGGCCTTGATTCTTTCTCGTTTTTCTCTTGCTTCCTATCTGAAGAAATTTATTTCTTATTGTCTGTTCTGTGTTCTTCTAGATCTCGTGACTTTTTTACTGGACTCGCCCAAAGTTAAATCGATTATTGTACTACTTTGCAGAGATTCATTCAATGAACTGATAATTGGGGTTGCATTTTCTGAGTGATTTGAACCATTTTCTAAGATAAGGAAAATGTTCACTTAGAATTTTCTAATAGAAACAATAATTCCGGATCACTAAGAGTTAATACTTGTTTATCCGTCGTAAAGTCAAAGAAGTACTTTTATTAGGCGAGTCGATAGTTCAGTTGTTATTTTTTGACTCGAATTTGCAGCAGCAATGATTCAATCTTATGTTTTCCCTGTTTTAGCAGCTATTTACTCCAGAGAAGTATAAATTAAACGTTAAAAAATAATCCTTTCAACGTGCATAAATTCCGATTCTACTAAACTTATTATTATTCAATGAAAACGGAACGATACTCGAGAAGGAACCTTTCAAAGTCTTCATACTACAAAAGTTACTAAATACTTTACGCTGAGATTATTAAATTATTTTTAACGCTTTTTTTTCAGCTTTTTGTCTTTCCAGTTGACCTCCTTGTATTGAATTAGGAATAACTTGACCTCGCAAAAAAAATAAAATAACATTGTTCAACCCATTAGAAATCCTTTTACAAAATGCATTAATCTTCAACTGAACAACCGCACATGAATCAAGTAGAATTACTTTTAAATTAGAAGAAGAAACACCACCAAGGTATGGAAATAGCGACGCAATCGACTACGAACTATCATTGATATCTAGATCATTGTATATCAAATAAAATATATATTAAATGTAACAAAAAAACCGCAAGTTGAGAGAATTGCCCGATAAGGCAAATCTTGCAAACCCTTTTTTGCCACTATCAAATGTGCATGATAAATGCAAAAAATTCGCCATTAAAATAAGTAAAACTGTTTAAAATATCTCAAGCAAAATAGTTAGTATTCAAAATTTGTGTGATTTTTTCTTAAGTATTTGCTTCAGAAGATGTGTGCCACGAAAGTTGCTAAAATGCGCCTACAGCGGCGATAATTTTTATGATTTTATTGTTGTAAAAATGGTACCCAAGATTTATCAAATCCAATCAACTGCTCAAGCAATAAGGAATAAAAAGCCTACAGAACCCATCTTGATTTCAGTCTTTCAGCCATTCAAGCCGAACGAAATCGCACACGACTGCTAAGAATCGCAGCGAGATAATTAAATTGTGTAACTTTTTTCAAACAGGGGGAGTTGATTCTTTCATGTAGAGAGAAGAGAAGGAGATCGGGAATCGAAACAACAAAACTTATCAGAAGAGAAAAAATCAATTTTTTAGAATACCGATCGAAAGTAATTGCCGTTACGTTTTCAGGCACAAAATTGAACTGGATTATCGGGCCCTCATCGTGAATCTGCCTTAAGTCGGCTATAATTGAGGCAATTCGTTATTTTCTGGCATCTAAGATTATCCGAAACCCTACTTATGCAGATAATATGGGAAATAGAGAAGCTCTTACCGACACTACTAAATTCGCCTTAATATAATTTAGATATCGACCTACAGCCGGCAGTTAATGAATAATATATTAAACTTATTGAGAAATTGAGACTTGATGGTATGTTTATCATTCGCGGGGCTTTACATCCATTACGCCCTTTACTCCATTTTCTCAAAGTAGCTACATTTAAAAAAGCTGATTAAATAAAGATGTACTAAAAAGCAATTATTTGAATGGAAGTTGAGTTTGTTTGGAACTCAATTTAGGGTAATTTTCCATATCACACCCATGTTCCATCAAATTCACCACCACGCCCACTATACTGGTCAAGGCAATACATTTTCATTAGCTTCCCCTAAAAGTAATCATGCTTTTAGCACCTCCATGGTTTCCTCGTCTAATAGAAAGTAGTAACCGATTTGTCATATTTTGCGAAAAGCCATACGTTTCATAAAAATGCATGTGAAATTAGGTTTCATTACGGTGATAGTGATTGATGTTTTATGTATTCCCATCTTGGGGCTGGTAATAAAATCGTATACAGAATAGCCAGCAGTTCGGACGGCAGATTGATTGGAGTTTGCCTGCCTGGAGTGGGCAAGATTAAAGCTTTTTTAGATATCGGAAAACGTTCTTTTTTGTTCGTTCAGTTAATTAATCTAACATTTGCTTTTCATTTTCAAACCAAATTTGAAAAATGGTCCGAAACACCTTCATTTAAAGCACGTCGTCCTTCTAATTTGAAGTGAAGTGCAAATGAAAATGAAGTTCTCAAGTAGTAGAGGTGAAAAGTTTTGCAAACAAGTTGGTGCATTACTAATTATTCCAACATAAAATTTTACGGCAAGAATCGGTCTTTGGAGCAACATGAAGGTTTTCGATTGATGTTCATTTCATTTTGAAAATTGTCGATTCCTCTTGATCTCTTGTAAATCTGGCTTCGTCACAGAAAAATCTTCTTGAAAGACCATTCATATGCTCGTTCCTCCATTCAGAAAAATGATCTCTTTGGGAACATCCAGTGGTAGAAATTCCTTTTCCCCATTTTCTTGCGATGTCTCCTCAACAGACGTTTTGCTTTATTTAATAAGAACAGAAAATCTTCTTGTATTAAAAACATGAGTATTTTGAACGAGTTCCAGGACTTCTGAGGCATTACTTATTTGCATGATTTCTTTTGAGAAGTCGGTTTAGGGAAAGTGCCTGTTACAAGAGTTGTGAAGGTTCTACTGAACACTTGTTTGCCTGGAAGACAATGTATTCAACTGAACACAATAAAGACTTGCTTCTACCATAAAAAAGGCATTAATTCGAGCCAAGTTCGAACTACTCATACCGCGATATTTCTTAAACCGTTGAGGATTCAGGAGCAGTGAAAGAATAATTTTTGCTTAAAACTAGTGTCATCCAATCCATTTACGAACCTTCTAGCACATCTTGGGAAGAGAAACAAAATTGAAAAACTTAGAATTTCAAAAAAAGCCCTTGCAATTCTCTTGCTATTTCAAGCATATTAAGGAATTGGTTGATTAAAAACAGTGTTGGAGACTTGGAAGTTATAACATAATCATCAGACAACCTTCAAACCTTAGGCAGTTACATTCGTATATCAACATCGAACAACACACCCCCAACACGAAATTCCTTCCAAGCAGTAAAAAGCGGTGTTAATAATCGTTCCGTGTTTTTTCTACATCGACGAAACGTCCCGGAAGCTCCCGTAAGTTTCCCAAGAATTTCAGCACCTGTAATCTGGAGTAATAGAAGGTAATGGGAGCCCACTCCTTCGGCTGATTTAAGTGTAGCAAGTCATGAAAAATGACCTGGCGTCGGCCAGGGGCCACATAAAAAACTGTATTCATCAAATCAATTATGCTGACATGGGGGATTGGCCGACATCATGCGGGAAGGCGCAAGAAAGAATTATCGAGGGTGTTGCTGAAAGGATTGTGTTCCGGGCACACGGAAAATCCGGCAAAACATGAACTGTTGGAGTTGATATTCGTTTAAGTGCCTGTCGTTATTTAAATCAATTTTTTCAATTCAAATTCTTCAGAAGTCATCTTTAATTCATTTAACATTGTCTTTCTCTTCGACGATGTCCCAGATTTCTGCGGCATAATTATTGTATGTTTGCTTCTTTGGAACTAGAAGAACGTCAGATTTGGTCGGGTGAACAGATTTGGTCGGGATGTTAATCTTGATGAATTGTAGACATAATTGTTCCACTCACCACTAACTTATTGAAAACTAACAGTCACAAAAACCATTTTGATGTCCTGTGAAAAACTTTTTCCGGACAAATACTATACTGTATGAAAATTACTTCTTGCCCACTTTGTGTCACAATCAATGGCAAATTTAAATCGGAACGACATTGCTTATTTACAGCAAATTCCCATAAAATTTTCTCCTCTGTTTCGCAACGAATTTACTAAACACTTAAACGTATAAAGTGTAAAAAAGAAAAAATACAGAAAACAAAACAAAGCGGCGTTGAAATCACAATGAAAAAAATATTTTGTACATTATCGTTGACTCTTCTTCAATATCTAATAATTAATTTCACTGAAAAAAACTAATAAAAATAAATTGCATCACTAAGAAATAATTCAAGGCTTAATTTTAACTTTATCGCAAATATCAGATTTCCCCAGTTTTTTAATCTACACTTCTCCAAAAAGATGCTGAAGTTAACATACAAAGGTTAAAAAAGCGTGAGGTTTGCCAGTTTGAGTCCAAAATTTGTAAATATCGTTCTAATAGATGTTTTTTTCTTAACTGCGCTCTGCTTTAAAGATTCGCCCCTTCCAAAGGAAAGCAAATAGCAATTTGGAACTTTTGCAATGCAAGACACTTGGAAGAAGCTTGGAAGAATGTTAAAAAAAAATACTCTTAATAAAGTTTTCTAATTAACTGCAGCCTCCCGTTTAAAAATTCTGATTTTTCTGAACTAAAGCCAGTGACAAATTTAAAATTTCACCATGTGTAGAAGACACTTGCTTCTAAATATCCTGCAAGTTTTATAAAAACTGTCTAGAATCCTGATTTTCTTCGGCTTCGTAAATCTGGGTTCAAAATTAGTGAATATCGAATGTATGTTTCTACTAAATCGCGCTCTCATTTAAAAATTGGCATTTTCCAAATTAAAACGAATAAAAATTTGAAATTTTCACCATCTCTATAAGACATCTGACTCTAAAGATGCTGAAAGTTTTATTCAAATCGGACTTAATTCTGATTTTTGCCAGCTTGGTCAATCTGGGTTAAAAATTAGTAACTAACATATATTTTATGTATATATTTAAAACTTTTTTCAAACGCATTTTTCAAACTAAGGCAAGAAGCAATTTCGAATTTTCGCCATGCTGAGAAGACGTTTTACTTGAGTAGACAATTTAATTGAATTTTTGGGTGCATTTAGTCTAAAGTATGTTTGTACATTAGAAGTTGCGAATTTTTATTTAAGGCCCTGCATGTGCGGAATCCCTTCAAATTCAGACGAACATTCACAAAGCGCGCAAAAATCAGGATTTTGTACGAATTGAATGAACTTTTGAGAATTTTTAGACCCACGTGTCTTCCATAGAATGTCCATATTTCAAGCTCCTACTAGCTCTAGATTGCAAATTGGATGTGTTTGAGAGTCTGCCGTTGCCTGAAGCCGTTCATATGAAGACCAACATTCACAAATCTCCGAAAAATCAGGTTTTGGCGCTATTTAATTAAATTTTTAGGTGCTTTTAGCCTGAAGTATGTTCAATCAACTGTAAAAATATCAAAGTGGAACTTGTCCACATTAGAAGTTATAAATTTGTATTTAAGCTCCCGCATTTGCGGATTCCCTTCAAATTCAGACGAACATTGACAAAGCGCGCAAAAATCAGGATTTCGTGCGAATGAATGAACTTGTGACAATTTTTTGAACCGCGTGTCTCCTATGGAATGTCTACATTTCAAGTTCCTACTGGCTCTAGATTGGAAATTGGATTTTTTCATTTGAGAGTCTGCCGTTGCCTGAAGCCGTTCGTATGAAAACCAACATTCACAAATCTCCCAAAAATAATTTTATGTATATATTTAAAACATTTTTCAAACCAAGGCAAGAAGCAATTTCAAATTTTCGTCATCTGAGAAGACGTTTGACTTGGAAGATAATGAATGGTTGATAAAAATTGTCCAGAATTCTGACTTCTGCTAGTTCAAAATTAGAAAACATCGGTCTCATAATATAAATTTCTACCGATCTTCGTTTTCACGTTAAAAATTTGTATTTTCCAAACTAATGCAAGTTACCATTCGAAATTTTCACCATATTTAGAAGGCAGTTGACTCTAAAGACGCTGAAAGTTTCATAAAAAGGCCTTTCATGCAACGAATCCTGTTTTTCCAGCATAAAAACTGACACATCGAACGTATGCATAAAATTGCATTCCGATCCAATGTTTCTGTCCAAATACTGGCGGACTCAATCGAAAATTTTAAAATTAATCTCTAGAAGGAAGACTAGACTGAACTCTATCAATACAGAAAATAGTTGTGTTCTAAACAAAACAGCAAGATTCCGAAAATGTGGAAACCCTATCAACCAAAACAAGTCCTACCCTGAAGCCATAACCGATTCCATATGAACAGACAATTTGAAAAAAATTGCTCAACAAATTGGAAAATTAGTAATGAAATTTATCCCAGTTTAAACGATATGATTGCAATTTTTCGAGATCTCGCACTCCAATCAGTTTCCCTTGCCGATATATTTTTATCGGCTATTTAGCTCCCTTATTTAGCTCTAGGGCAAATTGATTTTCGAGAGATGGGATTTTAGTGAAAAATTAGGAAAGGAGGCGGCAAAGAGTTTAATAAAAGCTAATGAATTGAAAATCCTGTTTATATAACAACGTAGAGTAAATGTTTTCAGAAGCAAATTTTTTTCGGCTCACTTTTTAAGCAAACATGGTTGATTCAGTGTTGTCTGAACAAACGGATATTAACATAATTAGCTCTGAATGATGATGTTCTTCGCCGACTCCAGCTAAACAAAAACCGATTACAATGGACAAGAAACTAAACAATCCAAGTGAAAACGTGTGGAAAAGAAATTAAATCAAGATCTCGTGCTTGGCATTTTTGGGAGGCGTGTGATTAATAGAATCCGTGTAAATTCCACATATTTCTTAGCTTTAGATTCACGTCCTAACCGGTAAAAGTCACATGAAATATGTCCGAAAAAAATCGAATTTATGAGATGTTATTTACGAAGAAAAGGGATTAAAAGCTTCCGCATACAGCGAGCTTTAAATGTAAACTCACCAAACCAGTTTAATGTAATCAGGCGCTTAAAATCACACAAAACTTTAAACGTAATCTCGAGAATAAATTTGTGATTGGCCTTTTATCTGAACACTTTTCTATCTCCAAATTTTCTTATTTTCATGATAACATTATAGGTAGATTAAATTTCCGGGTGAAACTAATTGCTCAAGTTCAAGCGCTTTTCAATAAATAAGTAGAGTAGTTGAGGAGTGTTTAACAAAATATTTAAAAATCGATTATCAATAAATGTTTAATTAAAACTTTTATACTAGTTTTTAAGTAGGTTCAACATGGCTATTGAGGTCTGAAACAGACGCCACAAAACCACCGTATTCTTTCGCATTTGATCGGAATGAAACGATTCTTTGCAGTTCCTCCTTTTTTTTTAGAAAAGTGCCAACATTTCCTTATCGATGGTTCACTTTCTAAAAATGCCTTTTAGTTCTCTCTGGAATGATGTAAACATAAGCGTTCTTGCTCATTTTTTAGGAGAAAAAATGAGCAAAAACGGGACGGAAAACATGAAATTTGCACATAATCTTGCACCTAAGCGTGTGATTCAAATTTCGCTTTCGGGGTCAAAAGTGCTCGAATTTCCGCACTCATGTTGTTATGACTCAATCGAATTTTGAATTATCAATGCTTTTTTGCCAACGATGCCAAAACGAATTATGTGACTCAAAGGGGGTTTGAGAAACTTCGAAAAAAGCAGCAATGTTTAAATGTTTCAGTTACAGTTCTTTGGAACGATGCAGAGTCTCTAAAAATAACAAGCCTTTATGTACCAAGAGGAGCTACCGACGACGCTTACATTGACTGTAGGTACGACTTGGAAGGAGAGCCGCTTTACGATGTTAAATGGTACAAGGACGACATGCAGTTTTTCCGATGTATGGCCGATGGCAGCGTCCATGAGTTCCCAGTTGAAGGTGTAAGTGAACGTTTTATCAAACCATCGTCAATCCACTGTGTACTGATATAGTATCGGTAAAAGCGATAAAATGTGAGAAAAAAAGAGAACACGGTCCATGATCGGGAGGAAAAATCTCACAAGAAATAAATTTCCTCACATAAAAGTTATATAAAAGTTTAAAACATCTGATGAAAACGCATCGGCAGATTAGCTAATTGAATCGGTAAATAAAAAATCGTCCTCCCAAGTTCCTGGTGAGGTTTCACTCGCGCAGTCTCAACGATATTAAAGCGACAAAATTAAATTGAAAAGTAATACAGTTTTTTATTTACTAGCACGTCCAAAACGTTATAGTTCTATTTTTTTAGGTTTACATTAATTACTCGAATCATGCAACAGTGGGATCCTGCCCTATAAACCTCACAAGACTCTCCAGCAGTTCCGCAGGAAAATACAAGTGCGAAGTGAGTCTAGACGCTCCAACTTTTCGAACCGTCTCCGAAACGAAGATTTTGAGATTTATGCAGTCAGAGAGGAGGACACAAGTGAAAAATGATATTAGTAGTCAGAATATGAAAAGTGAGTTGATCTTAATGTAAAAACTTAATCAAAATTTAGGGCATTCTAATTACCCGAAAATATAATACAGGGTGTTATTTCAGTACGTGGCCAAACTTTAGCGGTGACTTTGAGAAGCAACGTTTTTATGTTCGGCCGCAAATGATGCCTTTCAATATACATGGTGTTGAAATTAGAAATAAATCAGTTTCCGATAAACTTGGCGTCCTGGACATGATCAATATTGTTGACAAAAATTTCTCAGCAATTTCACTCATTATTTTCAATTTTACAACTTTCTTCGGGTGAAGCAAGGTCCAACACAACTTTTTTGTCTCTTGACTTATTCTCGTCACCATTTTCTGCCAGTTCTTTCATCAATTAAAATTACCCGAAAATCATTTGCGGATTTAGTTTTCGTACAAGTTTACGATAAATTAAATAAACCTAAAACTCCTGCACAACTTCATTTTTCATTGAAATCATTGGACTCACTTCCAACCTCTTAAATAAACTTTTCTTTTAAAACTCATTCAGAGTTTGTCTACGTACATAAATAACACTCAGTATAATACAACAGCAGTTGAACTTTTATGAAGACTTAGCAACAAATTGATCAATTTTTTATGAAAATTCGAGCTATAAGACGTCCACTTTATTCCAGGTGTTTTCCGAAATCAGACAGATGCATTCAAAGCACATTCTGGTAAGCATAAATTGAATAGTTCTATGTAGGGTCTATGTGCATTTCATTGTTCAATTGCAGGTGTAACAACATCCAAAGACAGCTTGTCCATACACGTAGTGATATTTATGTTGATATTTTGTAGTTTTTAAAATAAAAGTATCAAGTACAAAATTATTTTATAGTACGGTACACACTTCGAACGTTTTTGCGACAATCATTGCAGCAGGAATAATGAGTACTTTGTAAAGAGGTAATTGAAATCCATTCTGTTTTTACTTACCCCCATGTGAGTAGCTTAAATATGTACAATTTTATTCAAATACATAATATATACAAAGCATTTTGGTACTTACCCTTTTCATAAAAAAATACTTTGGTTCTGTGCAGATATGAGATGTAAGTAAAATAAAATTGTACTAAAACGTTTATTCGTATATTCAGGATAAAAATACAAAAACAAAATAAACGAAAACATGCAACAAACAAAAATATGTGTACATTTTAAGACAGTCTAAGCAGAAACAAAATTAGAAATTGCGGTCTAACCCAAGTTGCCAAAACATTACAAATTACTAAATAATGTTGCTATGGATGATTTGTAAGGTTTTCTAGTATATCATTAATTCCAGGCAAATTAATGTTGAACAGCGTCACTTTGAATCGATCTTCCAGCACGCTGACTCTTTCGTTCATTACTGCTAGTTCCTTGTTTGTTTCCTCGTGGTTTTTCAGAATAGCATCCATTTTTCTATCAACTTTCTTCAGTGAAAGTGATAGGTCGTGTAGATCAATTGCTTGTTGGTTCAATGAACGCATAATAGATTGCATATTCTCCTTATTTTTTTCCTCCAAACGATCTGATAGGTACCTATAATGCTCTCGTGTCTCACTATCGAAACCCAATTGCTCAAGAGGAGCGGAGTCTGTAGTATCATTTAAAGATAAACGCGTCATGAGCGCGTTAACGCATTCAGTATTTTGTTTACGTTTTCCGTGCTTCTTTCCGATTGGTACTGAGGTGGGTAACGTGGCATAATCTTCCTTGGAAACTGAAAAAATACAAGGTTTCCAGACAAATAAGTCATGGAAATTCACATACATATGTGTGATGATTCAAAATGACATTGCGCATTGCAAATACAATAAATTATTGCTAAGGATCACGTCATATTATTTACGGAAAGACCTTCGTCTTCTTGCAGTTAAGTCTTAATAGCGAAGATAATTAGGTTTCAACATGGCTGCATCTGAACCAAGTATTTTTTTTTTAATTTCCAAATTGTCTTTATATCTTCTTTGATTAAACTAACTATCCAGTTTGGTGCACTTTTTCTTTAAGTCCTTTTTCACTTTCCTTAAGTAAACCGCTCACACCGTGAATGAATACGGAAATTTGGGTCTATGCACAGTATTTCTGGGGGATGATTATTAGTCTCCTCTGGTTCAGTTCCCAATCCCGAAATTTTCATTTCGAAGCTCAAAAGAGCTGAACTCTGACTGATTTTGAAAAGTCTGACTAATGCAATTTAAAAAAAAATTCATGTTTCCGATTAGAAATGTGGCTCAACTGTACATTAGCCAGGACATGGGGGCGATATTTCCATTTTAAAGTGCTTATTTACGCACTTTAAAATGGAAATATCGCACAAGTCGCTTTTACTAACTGCGCAACATCGCAAATGAATTTAAGAGATTCAGTTGCCGCATGCTGATAAAATTAATGCCCAACTTTTATTTGCTAAATAGTTTTCCCGAAGCGTCCAATACTTCTGCAAAATGTTAGACCGAAAATGCACGTAAAACATTAAAGAACATGAAAAACGTGTACGACGAAACGAATTAAGCAATTTAACAAACAAGTATCAAAAACTGTTTTACAGTTTGTGGGATGATGAGAGAGGCTTTCAAATTACAGAATTTTTAAAAACATTAACACAATTTTCTTTATGGTACTTTTATAAAAAAAACCTGATAAATGGTAAATATAAAAGTGAAATCATACCTCACTACCTCAGTAAATGTGATCTTTTTAAGTTACCAGAAGCAGATAAATCCTACTGATTATCATACAGATAAATATACATTTTACTACTGAACATATGCAAATCGTAGATTCACAATGCCGAAATCTGGACTTGAAAAGCAAGAGTTTATACTCGGTTCTTCAAATCTACCGATAAAATTCACATCCGTTTTATCAACGATTGTTTCTGATGAAAATTAGCAAATTCGAATTTTTAATGCCACTGAATATAGTTTTTGCAGACAATTTAATTTTGTCGTTTGAAAAGAAAAGGTTGGGATAGCTGAGGATGAAGAGGCGTTTTACCAAAAACACACAAAATGCATCATTCTTTAGGGGTTTTAGAAAAATGTACTTACGCAAATACTTTCCGATTAAATAGGGGTCCTCGATCACACTTTTCTCAACAGCATTAATAATACGCTGGAACCTGTTAGCAATGTCCGTTACAGTGCATGGCTTAAGGCACGCAATCAAATTGTAATTAGAATTCCAAAAGTATGGTATTTCCTTATTTTCTAAATACTCTTGGTACATTTTCAACATCTAAGAGAAGTAAAACTCAAAACCTTAGCAAAATTGAGATTCGGCTGCAAAGAATACTTACACACATAAATACCACGCTGAGCGAAGTCGACCAAAAGGAACTATCTTCCTTTTCCACCTTCCATAAAAATACGGTTTTGATAAAGTAACTAGCGATTTTATGGTTGTCATTGTCCCTTAATTTCTAAAATCAAAAAATTGTAACAGATTTTGTCAAAACTGAAAGTTTGTTAAAAAAAGTGATGTTTTAAAACAATCTTAAAAAATCAAAGTCTATACGAGCATCGTTACGAAAAAACTGGATGGGAAAGATTTATTAAAAAACATAAAATTGTATGGAAATATCCGAAACCGCTTGAGAAATTTTAATCAAATTTTGAAGATATCAATAGTTATTGAGTCGCCATGTTTCTATCGAAATAAATATGTTTTTTGGTCCACCAGTGCCGCACACACTGACACACATTCAATATGTTTGAAGAATAAAATGATGCGCCACTGATTAATCAAAAAAATATCCTTACCCTTCCATTGCTTGTTCAATTCTAAGCAAAACCGCTATCTTGAGTTTTTTTCGTACAAAAAAAAAATAAAAATTGTATGAATGTACGTCTTAGAATCCTCCCACTAACAATTTTTGTAACAATATTGTTTTGCAATACTGACGATTCATTTTAATGAGTTGGCTGCGTTCAACTTAAAATGTGTACACACACAAACTAATGGCTCATAATTGGGGCTCAAATCATTCATTTGCGTTTTCAAGTACTTTCTAGTTGAATTAAATTTACTAACAGAAATTAAATTTAAATCCAATAACTTGTTCGAAATGCCCTTTCGCATCCAAAGTACAGGTATTTAGCCTCTTTCTCTTATTCTGAAGAGTATTGTACGTAAGACGGTCCATTACTTATATCTGCAAAACTATTCAAGCAAAATCAAATCCATTCAAAAGACCAAAACCATTCAAATCCAACTCGTTGAGTTGTTGAGGATTCAAAGACATACATTGATACGACTTTCAGTTTTTTACTCGAAAGTGATGCGTTGTATAAAAAAATCAAGTGAGTTGTTTTGTTTCGAGTTTAACAAGCAATGAGAGAATAAAAATATTTTTTACAGATCAGTGGCGCACTGATAAACTTTCTTGGAAAATATTCAATGCCATTCGGCACAGTTTTATTTAATTAACTCAAACCGATTCGGTTACATTAATAAATGTTTATTTTGTAATAAAATAGATAAAGTTTCATTAAACTTGAACGCCCTGTATTTTCGTAACGATGATATTACCGACTCCGGTTTATTAGAACGTTTGATCCGAAAATAATCACGTCTTACAACATAAATAAATACCTTTAGTAGTCTAAGTGCTGGTTTAAGGAACTGAAAATCGTTTCCAGAAATGAGCTCACGCTCCTGCTCTTGAAGCGACAACCGCCAGTACCTATTGATGGTAAGGGTATTTACCGAACCAGTTTCCTTAAGCTTTTTGGCCACTACTAAAAAGGTTTTAGACTGGAAAGGAAATAAATTGGAGAAATCTAATAAGTTAGATATAGCTCAATTATACTTTGTACTTTTTTGCAGAAAATTTTTTGTATTTATTTGACCACTGCGTCTCATTAAACTTGAAGCAAGGAACCAAATCAATATCCAATTTAATGTCTGTATTTGAGTCATCTTTCCCATATAAGTGTAAAGTAAACGCCGGGCCACTTTTCCTTGCTTCAATCTAAAATAAACTGAAATTCACAAAAACACCAGTCAGTAAATGTCCAGAAACATACATAGAGCCTAAGAATATCATCTGGATGAGATCTGTTACGTATTACATCCAAGTAAGTCCTTGCGTGAGCATCTCTAGGCAGCCCATTAAGGGCTGAGGTGATTAGCCCCTCAAACCAACATAATAACTTATTAGTAGCTAGAAAAGATGTGTCGTCCAAGAGCACCTTAAGATCCCTTTAAAAAAAGAGTCGATATTAAGGGCGGTTTAAATTATACATTAATATTCCATGTTTACTCGTGTGGTTCCTTTGGAGCGAGGGTTGATAGTTCCGTTAAGCGAACATAGACAAATCCAGAATGGTCACTACACCATACAATAGGCTTAGTTACATCCTGTAAATGATATTTCGAGAAATTGTATTCATATTCACTATTAAATAATACATTACTGGCATATTTAAAATCAAATCCAAATCGAATTCGTCTGGGCATCCTACTTTCAAGTTATCGTAAAAGCTACCTCCATAGAACGTTTCTGTATACAGTTTACGAAAAAGTTGGTTTTTCTCCTTTATTTTTCCAATTACCATATCTGTAACCTAATGAAAATTTGATTGCAGCAAATAATACTGCGTTAGACTCTGAAACGTTTCAACGAAATTTTTATTAATATTCCTCTGTCGTTAGAATTCAATCAAATTTAATTATCAAAAAATGTTAATTCAAACTTACGTAAGAATTTTCATTAGTGCATTTGCTAGAAGGTTCTAAAGCAAAAAGGTACCGTATTCGAGATATTGCCGATTTAACGAATAAATCAAGCAACCATTTAGGGATTCCAATTTAATCAGTAGGTACACTTAATTTCACATTACTTAGGTAATAATTAAGCAAATGCTACCCATTTGCCCACACAATTCCCACCATTTACCTTAATACTTTTCTTATGTCCTTTTTAAATATTGTTTTATTCGAAATAAAATACGTTGTTGGTCCCTTATTGTTAATATTAACTACGGAGTGCATTATTTGTAGAATATTTGTGCATTAATTGGTAGCAGATTGGAATAGTTAAGCATTCAGTTTGGTTTACCAGGATGTTTTTCCAGGCCGGAGTTTACAATTTATTTATTCAAGAATTAAAAAGGTTAGAGCTGCTGTTGTATGTATTTTGTGGGGCAAAGTCTTCGTAAAAAGTTCTAAAAGTTTCGGTTTTTGGTCATTATTAGGCAATTTTCCAGAATATTACGAATTTGCGTCTGGTTTTTGCGGGGGTTTTGGCAGGCCGGAGTTTAAAACTTATTCCCTCTGAACCTTGCAAAGTAAGAGAGTCAATTTTGGTAAATTTTCTGTTGCAAAGTAAACAAAATTTCGTCCATCACCAAACAATCACCAATTTTTGACAATTTTGCAAAATTACGTCTGGCTTATGAGGATTTTTTTGCAAGTTGGAGTTTGGCATTTATTTGTTCAAGAACTAACTAACCAAGAGAGTTGCTGATATACGTTTTTTGTAGGGCAAAATCTGCTTAAAAGGCTGTAAAAGTTTCGGTTTTTTCACCAGCATTTGAAAATTTTCAGGAATTTTTCAAAATTGCGTCTGATTTTTCTGGAGGTTTTTGCAAGCCGGAGTTTAAGATATATTTCCTCTAAAAATGGCGTCAGAAAAGAGTGAAAGTGCATTTTTATATCAAAGTTTCCCCATCTATTTATTTATCATTAATTTTCATCCATTTATCCATCCACCTTCCTAACAAACGCGTGATGTAGAATGAAGGGAGTTTCCTGCTCAAACTTTCCCAATTTTGACTGATTATTCCGCTATAAATTGAATAAAACGAATTGATTACGTGGCATTTCTATATTTTAAAACAAAAATTTTGTACAAGTTCATGCGGTTAACAACTCAAATTTTCTTTTTATTAATGGATTTGGGAATTCTGCGTTCGGCCATCATTTGCTCCGCTTTTTCTTGATCGGACACTGTGTGGGAACGCATGATTTTAACAGGTGCTGGAAACGGGTCCGATAATTTGGAAGCTTTTAGTGGCAAAACTAGGTTTTTGTAGGTGGAGGAAGCCTCGAACTGCCGATAACCAGCAGATGGTAGTAGATTCGACGAATTTCCATCGAACATTGATTGCTCCAGAGAGGCTAAAGTGAGATTTTCCATTCCATCCCCTTTGGGCAATTCGTCTTGAGTGGATCTTGGAAACTGGTACTTTTGAGCGGTACAAGAAGTTCTGTCTCTGCAAACGTTGTACCGGATCGCCGGTGTCACCGTCTGCTCATCATCTTCCATTTCTTGGCTAATCTCTTCGGTTAAACGCTGCTGCTCCAGCTTAGTGCTGAACAATTTGGATCCAAGTCTGCACATTCGCACTTTATTCGGACTTGCCAGGCACCGAGCCATGATCAAAATGTTGTGAGACAATGAAAAGATTTTGAGTGAAGCAACAAACTGACACAAATGTGAACGCCACTAGTTACTACAGCAACATCCATCATTGACAGAAGAAAATTTTCGAAATTTTCAGTTAACACATCCAAGACTAAGATGATGCGTCGATTAAAACCGAAATCATCATCAGCCCTTCATTGTGGCTTTGTAAGAAACTTGAAGGAAATGACGCAACTAAACTGGGATTATCCGAACCGCTTCGAAAAAATTAATAAACAAGCGAAAATGGGCGAACCTGAGAGGGAATTGACCAGTAAAAGTGCACAGGCTGAGGTTTTTTGCTCGACAAAAAATAGGTAAACAATATATTCATAAATTCAGTGTGCAATCATTTTTTCAAAGATTTTAACACAATTTCGTATTTAAACTTTTTAAAAAGAAATCGCTTTAAATTCAAAAATGCCAGTCCGAATTGGAGAACGCTGCAAAAAGAGAAGTACCATTTAAAGTGTCCGGGAAATTGGGAGCAAAAATGATGCCGATGTTTACGGGTAATCAATTATTTGGATTTGCAAAAAACGTTCATTCAATTAATGGGAAAACATGGATTTATACTTAAATAATCCGAAGTTCAATGTCCGGTTGCCATTGGATAAATTGGGCCTATCGCAAACCGAACATTAAGCATACAATTAATTAAGTATTAACCCATGTTTTTTCGTTATTGAAAATCAGATTTTTGCACATTTTCAAATAATTTATTACTGTAACATTCATCACTTTCATTCATTATCAACTGATGTAATGAATGTACATACAAGGATTTCATTTCAGAACAAACCATCTTAAATACGTTTCAACAATTCAATTTTAAAATCAGGTAAAGAAAAGAAAACTTTAATAACAGATCAATGATTTTACGGCCCGCTAAAGTCAAACACTAATGATTAACAAATAAATTAATACTAGTTTAAAATATACGTTTCTACGGTTGTTTGTATTAACCCGTTTTAAGGGCATCAAGCAATGGCTATAATTAACTCGATTAATCAATTGAGTTTCGATTATGATTATCAATACAGTTCGATTATTGCCATCAGTAAAATGCATAAAATATAATACGCCATAAAAATATACCGGGCTTACGGTTTTCAAATTATTCGGAAAAATATGAACATTTTGCCATCTGAAAAACTCTTGCAGGAAACATTTCCTTCTAAAATTCATAATTACTATGAAATCGCACTTTGACGCACTAATGAGCAACCCTGTATAGTAGTAACTATATACAGGGTGAGTCTTTTTCGTACAGCGACCTTCGAAACTACAACAGATACGAAATGAACAAAGAAATGCAATTTTGAATGCTCCACTCGAAACCATTTTTATTTTTTCATAAATTTGAAAGCTGTATTTTTCAACAACTGATCAATCGACAAGTTGAGAGTGTTTTTGCGTCCAAACCAGTTTAAATTGATTTATTCAAAAATCAGGATCCGTATTATCGACTGTTGATATACCAGTAAAACTGGAAAATCGAGTTTACGCAACATTTTATGCAACAAAATGTTTCAAAATCAATAATTACTTTACAATAATGATTCGATTCATTTAAAGTCATTTAAAGTATAAATGTTTATTGTAGGTTTTGTGTAAATTAAATATAAACATGTCAATTTTCGATCATCTTTACAGTTTTTTGCAGGCAAAAAAAATTGCAGAAACGTTTATCAATAGTTCCATTTTTAAGGTATCAAATATGTACGGACAATCGACCTCCTCACAAAATCATTCTGGAAAAGCCCAGGCACGAACAGGAAAAGCACGTAAACGATTTGGCATACCTTCAACCAAATCGTACACCAACGTTCTTACAAAAACATTAACTCTAAGTCTCACTTCTATTGAAAGTGCCATTGTTGTGCTTGTTTAACAGTCCCGTATGATACGAATAATAAAAATATGATTTTACCTCCTTCAGAATGGCGTTGTTTCTCTTCTTTGCCTCGTCTTCCAGTGCAATGGAACGTTGGCTGATATATTGGAGCACATTTTCCATTGAATCGTAACGTTTCTTTAGCTCCGCGTACTTCGACATATTTCAAATTCAGACTGAAACAAAGGATTTCATGAATTACTTACAAGCATCTTAAAGCAGTTCATACGATTTATATTATTTACACAGCTGATTAATAAGTAAAATATTAATTTGCACCATTCATGCGTAAACTTCAAGACATGCGTATGTCTGTCCGGGAACATTCATCCTGTCCTATATACTGAAACATTTTCCATTACTCAATAATTCCCAGATTAAAGCCGTTATAACCTACTCATAATTCTGAACAGGGAAAAATTGAAACTTAAACTTTCGACCTTTCTACAATTTTCAATGTTATTATCTGGACCTATTCAGATCAGCGAAAAGCGGCGTTAAATTTTACACAGAGACATATCTATAGGTCGGTAAATCAGGACGAAAAAAAGATCCCTTAATTCAAGAACGTTTTCTTATTTCATTCTATTAATCTCGAGGGTCGTCTGGTGGCGAAAGACAGATGCTTTATTTCCGTTTTATTAACCTGGATCACCTCGGCTACTCCATTGGAATATTTGCGGCCTTTTCAAAGATTCCGTTCACAAAATTTACGGCGGAGTTAATATGGTTACAGAAGTTACTTAATTTATGTAAAATTCAACTTCCCTATCATGCGTTCTCAATAAAATTATTATTATTAATCGAAAGAGTTAGGCTTTCGCTATCATTGCTTGAAACTGGTGAGTATTCGCAAAAAGGAAATTACTTTCCAGAAGGCCTAAAAGCCCGAGAAACTCAGCAGTTAACTTAAATAAAAGTGACTTAAAATTGTACTTTTCCAGCTAGTAAAGTTGATGAAGATATTCTCAAACTTAAAAATACAATTCCTGATCAGCGAAATCCTCTAAAACACCCTCAAACTGATTTTCCGCACGTTGCCCGAACGAAAACTTATAATACGAATGCAAATTAATCCAGACCATCGATTCGATTTTTATCGAAAAAATCATCTCTATGCATATTAAGTCGATACGTCCGCTATGCCTCAACATTTTTGTTATTCGTGTAAAAAGTTTTCCAATCGTGAAAGTTTCCTGGATATGTCGCAAGCCGGTTAAACCCTACATTAGTACGCCAGATCGATAAGCAAAAAAAAATGCCCGATTTATAACCGAGAACCGAGATTCAGCTAGATTGGTGCTCTAAGGAGCCCTCATTTGGATTAAAATTGGACTTTATTCAAGAAAATTGAAAATTTGCATTATAACTGCACAAATGAAACCTGGTGATATAAACGAAAAGGTCTTGTGCATCCGCAAAGAAGAACGAAATAGAAATTGGAACAAAAACTTAATTGTATTACTTAGTTTTTATTAATTTAATGGAATTATCATGTGATTACAAGCATCATAAGACAAAAACAAGAAGCATTGGAACTCTTACACTGAATATTTCCGATGAAGAGACATCGCAAAACCAGTCAGTCCAAAAACACATATTTTAAAGGAGAGACTAACAACGCCTTCGGTTTAATTTTCAAAAGAAATCAGATCTCCTTCAAAAAATCGTAACTTCAAATCTAAGGCAAGTATCAACTTGAAATTATCCCATTCTACATAAAACAATTGGGCCTCAAAATACTGAAATTTTTACTGAAATCCTACAAATTTTGTCCAACTTTGTGAATATTGGGTCAAAAATCAAGGGTTTCTATCAACGGCACACTCGCCTTTAAAAAATCGTAACTCCTACTGTAAAGCAAGTAGCTACTTGAAATCATTGTTTGCTATATAAGATACTTTTCTCTGACAACCCCGAAATTTTGGGTGAAATCGCACAAAAATTTTATTTTTGCCGAATTTGTAAATATTGAGGCAAAAACCTGATTCCAATCAAGTGCATGCTCGCATTTAAAGAATCGTAGCTCCAAATCTAAGACAAGTATCAACTTGAAATTCTCCCATTCTACATAAAACAACTGACCCTAAAAATCCTGAAATTTTTACTGAAATCCTTCAAAATCCTGATTTTGTCCAAATTTGTGAATATTGGATTGAAAATCAAGAGTTTCTATCAACGGCACACTCGCCTTTAAAAAATCGTAACTCCTACTGCAAAGCAAGTAGCAACTTGAAAGTATTGTTTGCTATAGAAAACACTTTTCTCTGAAGACCCTAAAATTTTGTGTAAAATCGCACCAAATTCTAATGTTTGCTGGATTTGTCAATATTGGGCCAAAAAGCTGATTTCTATCAGGTGCATGCTCGCCTTCAAAGAATCGTAACTCCAAATCTTAAACAAGTATCAAATTGAAATTCTCCCATTCGACATAAAACAATCGACCTTAAAAATACTGATATTTTTACTGAAATCCTACAGAATACTGACTTTGTCCAACCTTGTGAATATTGGGTTAAAAATCAAGGGTTTCTATAAATGGCACACTCGCCTTTAAAAATCGTAACTCCTACTGTAAAGCAAGTAGCAACTTGAAATTATTGTTTGATATAGAAGACACTTTTCTCTGAAAACCCTGAAATTTTGGGATGAAATCGCAGAAAATTCTGATTTTTGCCGAATTTGTAAATATTGAGCCAAAAAGCTGATTCCTATCAAGTGCATGCTCACCTTCAAAGAATCGTAACTTCATCTCTAAGACAAGAATCAACTTGAAATTCTCCCATTCTACATAAAACAATTGAGCCTAAAAATACTGAAATTTATATTTGTTTAATATAATATTCATAAGATTTTGTGTCCTATTTTAAAATCTATCCAGCGCTATGTTCAACAACATGCAAAACGAGGTAACATTTTACCTCGATCAACTGCACATTTTAATACAGGTGAGTGAATTAATATGCAGGAAAAACCCACAAGTCCTTGGTTTTGTATAAAATCAAAAAATTCCGTATACTCAGATAATTCCGTAACTCCTCTACTACATTTGGGAGCAAAAATTAGTAAAATTAAATTATTTTTTAATTAACAAACTAATTTAAAACTTAGACGTTAATTGCAAGCAAGGAATGTGTGATTTAGATCACGTACCTTTTAATATTTGCTTAATGCAAAGTTTTCAATCTGCAAGTAACCGCAAAGAAACAAAAACTCTTAGAAGAGATGAGATTTTTAGATGCTGCAGGTGCATGTTTTGAGATGCATTGGGTTTTGAAATTGAAAGTAGGAAATTACAGAATTTCAGAGATCATGTTTGCCGTCCCGTTTTTGCTCATTTCTCGGAAGAAAAATGAGCAAGAACGCTCAGTTTTACATCATTCCAAGAGAACTAAATTGCCCTTTTAGAAAGTGATCCATCGATAGGGAAATGTTGGCAGTTTGTGCTGGTCAATCTGAAGCAGAATGAAGCGCAGAAAACTGTGAAAGCATGTAAGAGTCGGAAAGGATGGATCTCGAATTGGGCCAACCTTGATGAGTTTGGACATGAACAAAAAATAAATCAAAATACGAGGAAGTTGCGAAAGTAATAATCAATAATAAATGATGTCGAGCGACGGCCGATGGAAAACATGTGGCGGAACGTGTTCGTTCGCGGTTTCAGTCAAAGTTTTGTGAGCAGAGGGTGAACAACACATTGTTTTTGTTTGGGGCGCCGTTGCCACTGAAACCCCCAAACAAACCCATGGTAAAATATTTGATTTTTCACATAACGCGAATTTTTTATTATCGCACAAAAATCTAAACATCTTCACCAAAAAAAAAACAATCAACGCAGTTATGCAAAACGATTTTATTTTTTTTTAAATGCACTTGAACTTTGCCCAATTTCCAAAAGTTTCACGCTTATTGATCTTAAACTATATTCTTCTCCTTCTCTGTGTCACAACTCGATGTAAAAACCTGAGTTTCATGGTTTACTTGGTTGGTTCATTTAACATTATTCTTTCAGGCAGAAAGGCAACTTTCAAAACCGAAAGGTGTTTTCTGCGCTGCAACTTCTCTGAAGCACTCGATATAATTGGGAATATTTATAAAATATGCGAGTTTAGAATTTTTATACAAAGAATACCGGTTAAGCGAACAATATTTAACTTCATAATTAACCAAATTACTCAAGGTAAATGGCAAGTTAGGATGCAAAATCGCATGATTCTTTTCGAATTCTCCGATTTCATAATGTTAAGTTCATTCCTTCTCGTAATTTATAAGTTTGACCTATAAAATGACTCACCCTGTATGTAATGTATTATTTTTGTTCACTAAAGTTTGTCTGTATGTAGGAAATAACAGTCTAAAGCACTTGCCAGATGTATACCGATGGTTGAGCAACAAACCGTATTGATTGATTATTTAGCAACAAAATAATCGATATGCAATCGATTTGAGTTGAAACAGCTGGGGAATTAAATGTAATTCAATATATTAAGGAAACGTAAAAATAATTTTATTGTGATAAAACAGATACGATCTTTTAATCGGAACAAGTCGGATAAGAACAGATAAAATTCCATTACTCTTGGAATATTGGGAATCCCTTGTCCAATGTCAGACTAGGTCATATATTGCACGAAATATCCAGGTCCTTAAAGAAAATCTAGTCGTTTCCATTTCGGAAAAGCTGTTTTATTGCTTAAAATATTGCATTTTTTCTTTTAGGCGCGGCAAATAATAATATAAATCTTGAAACGTTCGGCTCTTATGAATCTTGTTTAATTTTCGAGAAAAGTATACAAACAGTTTAAACGATTCTAAACTCAGCATTCTGTTAAGCAAAACAATGAAATTAAAATATGATATTTAAAATGCATAGTTGTTAGTTGATTATGATTGTTTCAAATGTTTTCGAGCAATAATCCAAAAACACCCTGGCAAATTACGCTCTAAAAATGGAAAATTGCATCCGAAAGATATTAACAAAATGCAAAAAATGTTTTTAAACCGGGTAATCCTAACATAATAATTATTTGAAAATTACATTTTACTGAAATCCTTTCCTTTCCACAAAATATTTCCAAAACGGTGGTTTGAAGCGACTAATAATACCTGTTTTACGTAAAAATGATAGAAAAATGCCATTTCCTTGGAAAAAAACGTGGTACAAACATGCACGAAAAATGTACACGCCTTCTACATATAAGAGCTAAAATGACGATCAAATGTTGATCATGTTACAAAATCCTCAAATACCAAGTTTTTCACGTCCTGTCGCTCAATAAGTGAGGCCTTGCGAACCCACGTCTACACGGACGTTGGGTGCATTTAATTCCAGAATGGTTCTAAAATCAGCACCAATAAAATGAAACCAGAGACGAAACCAGAAACTAAGAAATAAAGGAACTACAGAAATATGTAAAAAATGAAGTATGAATGTCTTAAGCCTAATGGACTGAATCTTGCATAAGCTAGAAAATACATTGGAGTTAACAAGCAAAACAAAAAGCCGTTTTACATTAACACACAAAATATAGAAAACACTTTGATTTCCAAGACCTGGCAACCAAGCGCTGAACTTTTCTCCCTCGTTAGATTTGGCGATGCCGGTGCCAGAAAACAGCCGCCAGTTGAGTGAATGAAAAACTCACTACGGAAGGAAACTGCACGGAAAAACTAGCGGCCGTAGCGAAAACAAACCGAACTCGGCAAAGAAGTAAGTAGACGTAATTGAATGCTAACTTTCCTCAATTCCGCTTTGGCTTGATTGAGTAAGAATTCGAACTTTATCGAGCTTTTAAACAACGTTAGCAGTACTTAATTTGCTTCTAGGTCCCTTTCGTTCTAGTATGTTCGCAGTCTAAGCATGACCACCACAGGCAAGCTCTCCAACTTTCGACAACTGTCCCTAATATGCGACTCACCCTCGCCTCACGCAAAACGCCAGAGCTTGAAAAAGCAGTTTTCCGAAGACTTTTCTGACTTCAAAGACCCGTGGTTTGACCAAGGCCCGGAAGTTTACCTCAATGCCAGAAACAAACGACTTGAGAGAACCGCTACCGATAAACCTCCTCCTATCAAGATCGCCTGGTGTGAGAAAACAGATAAATTTGCCTTGAACGAGGAAGTAATAATTAAAAAATGCAAGGAGATTAAGCGAGCGCCGAGTGTAAAACTGGCGCGACATCCCTCGCTGGAAAAGGACTCAATTTTGAACTCCAAACATGATCTGAGGAACAAAGCGGAAACAGTTGACAAAGAAAATGACAAAGCCGAAACAAAACCGAATTTGCAAATCTTTTTAGCGCACAATACACACGACTACAACGAATGCCAAACTTCAGATAGTTTCGAGTCGCTGATGGACAGTAGGCAGCAATGTTTAGAGAGATCGAAACCTAAGTATCTCCAGCCGCTTTTGTCAAATGTTGAAACTTCAAAGGCATTTCAGATCAGGAAGAGTAACAGTAGAAAGACGTTAGAATCACCTAAAGCCGTAGAAGTCAACCAGAAGAGACCAAATTTTTCTAGAAGCAACACAATAGTGGTGGTTCCTTTGGTGGAAAAGCTTGACCAAAGCGACACACCTCGACAGGTGGTAAAAGATGAAGAAACTAAACGCGAAAAGGACGAAGATTCAAATGGGATTAACGTGATTATACGGCCAATGACCGCACAGACCAGACGGGAAAAATTCCAAAAGCGCACCAATTCAGCATTTCACGGAACCTCGAAAGAAACAGCAATCAATTTTAGACCGCCTTTAGTCAGATCTTCGTCAGCACCAAGCATTAAGCCCGAGAAGGGCAAGTTTTTAGCTACCAAGAGGAAGTTGAAAAATGGAAAAAAAGTATCCAGGTCCTCCAAAGGAGACCATTCTCCACACGCCGTAGACGGCCAAGAGTGGAAAAATGCAGCTCACACTGCGTCTGAAATTGTCACGATGGTTTCCCTCATCAGTCCCAGTGGAAGTGAAAATGAAGCGGATTCTGAAGACGAGTTGAAAGCCCGGCCCAAATCTGCTCTGAAAAGGGAAGACAGTGCTGTGGAAAAGACTACGACAGTTGGAAAGGAAGCAGCCAATAAAGACGGCACTAAAAACGTGTCACTGAGGAAAACGGTTAAATCAGGTAAGCTGCCCTTTTTAATAATATTAATCATGTTCGCGTGAGACACTTCGGATCTCTTTTAAATAACATAGAAATATCGTGCCTTTCTTTGACATAATTTGGTCTCGATTCTTCGCTCGTCTTAAAATCGAGGTTTTCAGGTTGGTCTGGCCTTCCACTTTCAGTCATGACCTGTTTAACTATTTAAAAGTTTCGCATGGCATAATAATTTATCTCCAACATTCTCATTTAAGTATCTTGGGCAAGTCGGAAAGCTTAAAGTATCGATCAAGTGGCACTTTTTTCAGCGAATTACTTTTGAAAACTTTCTCCTTGGACTCATGCCAACTGGGCTCGTTTCTTGCTCTTTAATCGGAAATCGCAGTTCGTTCAAGCACAAAAAAGCCTAAACTTAGCATTGTTCGATTTTTAGAGCAGGGAAAATTGCCTGGATTAAACCACCGTTCTCATTGTACTGGAAAATGGATTCTTCGAAATCCTTTGAAATTAATTACGTTACTAAAGTACAATGAACGAGTACAGCCTTGGAGTAAGTTGCTACTAATTGGATCATGACTGCCCATAGCGTGATTAATTACTCACTGTTTATTGAGAATATAGTTAATTGAGGGTTTTTTTTATGTTTAATATTCTTCTTTCTTATCTAATTACATTGATGGGCAGTTTTCATAGCTTCAAGTGCAAAAAACGCTCACAGCAATCCCAGACTAGAACTCAGAGTTTATTTTTAAATTATTTAGTCAAAAATATTAAATACAAGCAGCAGAACAAGAGCCCCAGAAGTAAGGTCTAAATCCATTTAAAATTCAGAGGACTGTTTATTGGAACAGTCAATTTTTATTTGTAAATATGATTTTTTGTACCAATTTTATTCATGTAAGACGATTCATATTCAAAATATTTTGAAGAAGAATTTTAAATTCTCCATTGAATTCTAAGTATGATTCAATAGGACATGGTGCCCGAATCATACCTACTTCAATTCAACAGAGAATTCAGAATTGAAATACAAAATAGATGCTTCCGTTTGAAAAAAAGTTGACCAGAACCATCCTGCATTAATAAATTTGGTACAAAAACATACATTTACAAATAAAAATTGACTGGTGCGAGCTTATTTCCAAAAAAACAGTCTGCAGAATTTTAAACGAATTTAAACATTACTTAAACTGTAAAAATGATGCACAAGATCGAAAGTTAAGGATTTTTTTTGCATTACATGAACAATGATTTGCTTTCAAACTACTGTGGTGCATTCTAACAAATATGTTGTAAACAAATATATTTTTTAATGATCATATATAAAAATAAAATGTTTATAATTAAGTGCATGAGAAAAGCTGGAAAGAAATGATAAACTATTGTATTATCTGCTAAAGAGAACAGGATTGGATGGATGGACAGAGGAGGAGTTGAAAGCAGTGTTGAGGAAAATGCGCAAACAATACGTGACATAATAATAAACTCGAAAAGTCCTCAACCAAACCAGCAGTTGGAAAAATTTTCCGAATTAAGAAATATTTATTGCTCCTGGTTTCTATTGAACGAAACAGAGACGCATGAGGGGAGGGGATCTGAGCGAGACATTTGTCAACAACAAAATATAAAAATCTTTTAAAAAAATAATTGTCAGCTTACCTAAGCAAAATTTCAAGTCCAATAGCACAAGTAGTAGCAAATGATTGTCCTGAAACAAAAAAAAATATTATCTTTCTAAAAAAGCGCGTAAGTCAATAAACTAAAAACTAACTTTTTGTGCTTATTGACCAACTAATAGTCAACCTAAAAAGACAAATAATTTCCAGATAATTCTGTTTAGTAAATTAATTTAATAATAACATCGCAAACAATTTATTAAGTGTGGGGGAAATTGCATTTTAAGACCCTGGAACTGTACAATCGCGTGTCTGTGGCTCGCATCCGTTGTAAAGTTGCAAATTAATTTCTTAAAACAACAACTAAACAGAAACAAAGTGAAATTTTATCATTTCCACGACACGACGATATAAGTTTAGCATTGGTATTTGGATAATGAATTGAAACCACTTTTTAAAGCTTTATATACAATGTATACAAAATTTATTATGTTAATTTTTGATTTAACCGTTTCCTAATAGGAACTCAACAAAAAATGGTAAAATTTTACTCTGTACAGTTAACAGCTCTTGAAAATAATAGTTGTATGGAAATAAGAAAAATATTGTGCATAATAACACAGACAATTTATTACTCAATTTATGCAGAGACGGTTAAGAAAACGAGACAAATTTCGACGGACTTTTTAAACGAATGGCCGCTTTCCTTCTTGAGAAATTGTAGATGTAATGAAATCCGATTTTTTAATGTCAACTTTGAAATGAAACGCGTTTTGGTAATTCAAACAGGCAAAAGCTTTTCGTACAAATGTAAATGTTGAGCAAGTTGTTTATAGCACGACTGTAGCGAACAGATACTTCTCACGAAAAAATTACCCCATAAACATGTACATAGCAGCTTCAAACGACTTATCAGTGCGGATTTAATGTTATTTATACATGGTGTTAGTAAATAAGTTTAACAAATTTCTGCATGAAAAAACAATGACAGTTTGCTTGTGATTAGTATGTCCGAAAATGATTCGTTTTCCGAGAAACGAGGACATTAATTTTTTTGCATCAAAACGGCGCCCCATACAACAAAAGGCAAGTGAGATTTTTTGTCACAATTTGATCGAAGACTTCAAAAAGTATTTATAATTTTTAGAAGCATTTTTATTTCTTTTTAAAGCAAGCCTTGACTTGTCTAATCTTTGCTGGTAACTTATTATACAGTTTTATACAGATGCAGTGGGCCCTCTTTTCGGTTGTATGCAAATTATGCTTAGGGTACGTATGCTGAGCTGATGTGCAACATATTCAGGTTGAAAAAATAAAGAGTTTTATTAGTGTGGAAACATTTTTTTGGTTTATCCATGAAACGCAAAAATTAACCGGACGCTTTTGGATAAATGCTTAGAAGAAAAAACTAGTAAAATTATGACTCTCCCTAATGAAACGTGGGCAAATTGCTAATTTTGTATCGATCGTTTCGGTCCATTTTAATCCCCATCCCCATTATCATCTATTCGATTTAAAACTGAAATTTCAGCGTCTTTATATAAGGGCATTTCTACAGGGTGTCCCGTAAGCTCATGATCAAAAGGGTACTGCGATATCCTTTGGACCAAAAAAAGACGATCTGACCTAACTTTTATTAACAAAAAATATCTGGCTCCTCTGCTATTGATGGTCAAAGTTCTTCTAAAAATTTATCTTTTTCGAAATATGGGGAGAATGGTACGATGTATTTTAGTGAAACTCGCTATGAATTTGTTCTTATCTAAGACTCATATTTTGATGAAACAATCGAGTTCAGCCGTTTTGGACAAGTGGTGAATTTTTGAGTGTCGTGGTACAAAAACTACCAGAACTTTTTAGTTGCAGGATGAAATCAACTAATTTTTTTTAGGTTAATGCACTAATCATTTGTTCACAATTTTGTGCTCTTTGTAAAGTCTTATAGCATTCATAGTTTTCGCGTAAAAAAGTATTTCTCTTTCCTTGCCACTTAACAATGTTAGACATTTACTGCAAATATGCGCCGAGAAAACGCGTACGCTTTCACGCAAATTGTCTTTGCAAAACCCTAATACTTTGATCATGTCCGTCACTTCTTCATTAGAAAAGGTAATTCAAAACGAATTTGTGAGATTGATTGACAATGATTT